GCTGCTGAGAGTCCAACCGGAGTCGTCAGTGGATACACAAGACCTGCATTGAACTTTGAGGTTCCGAGTCGCTGGATGACTGACTGCAGTCGGGGCCCTAAGTTCGTAGCCAGACCACTTCAGCTGCTTGACATCCGGCTGCTGGCCTAAGTCCAGACATTGTATTCACCAGAGTCAATCACAAGATCTAGACTTCATGTCTCAGCGGCGGGAGATCCAGGGGCTGGAGATGTCGCCGGTGACGTAGCCTGTGTGATTGTGCTCTATCTGTGGTTTGTTTTGGGAAGCGGAATGAAGAGATGACAAATTCGCCTCCTCCCGCGAAGCGACGCTATATTCCTCGGATGCCTCAAAGGGAAGCTTGAAAATGGGATGGATGGTAGGATGTGTCAATGCAGCCCATGAGCAGTCGGTACCGGAGCCAAAGTAGGAAGTCGTTCGAACGGGCTCAGACCCAATTCCTTTCATCAAATGCGCTTCTGTTTTTTTTTGTAATTGGCTATGACAAGAGTCCTGGCGAAGCTGCAGCCCCAAAGTCAAACATCGGCCCTGCCAGGCACATCGTCCAATGCAGGATTCACGCGGAATCTGTGCGCACCTCAGAGTCGTCCAGGTGCGCACGCAGAGACGCCATCTCCGTGTGGCAACTGCTGCGCTGCTCCTGCTCAGCAGGAGCCACTGACTATATTAGAATGAGCCTAGCATGCGGCGCAAACACATAAGTGCCTGGAACTTCAGATCCATCCAGAGCTCATGGTCCTGTGATTGTCTTGACGGCATAACGGTCGCACGCAAACTGTTCGTGAGCCTCCACTTGCTGCCGATAGTCGACAGTCATTTCCTGTCAATGTCTTCTTTTTTTATTTCTCCGAGTGCATTAAACTTGCTGATCTCGCCTCGGCCTTCATCGCTACGGATGCCTCGTGTAGCAGCTTTCTTGAGTCTTTACCCCGGAAGACTTTAGACGGGCCCGCCTGCAGCTCCTCCGCCAATTGCGTCTCCTCGTTGGCCGACTCCTTCTCTGCCTCCAGCTGCTCACCCAGCACCTGGCTGCAAAACAACTGAAACGAACCTGTATCGAAGCAGCTTCTGACACTGATTCATCCGCCTGGATCTTTGCCTCAGCTTGTTGTAGTTCCACCTCAGCCGATGCCTGCATGTCTGGTTCCGGATATATGACTTGAAGCGTAGCGCAGCGACCGCTGAATTATTATTGTTCGTGTAGGTTCCCGAAAACAAACCTCCCTGCCTTGCAGTGTTCAGCCTCTTTCTGGGCCTGCTGTGTCATCTTTCCGACAAGAACTATAGTCTGACAGCAAGCCTCTCGGAGTTTCTTCTCAACTTCCCCCATGCGCTCCTGACCGCACGTGCAGCTCATGGTACCCAGCTTGATGCAGGATGTCAGGGCTTTCGGATGTCAGAATGTCGGGCTGCGTCTGAATCACTGCAACAGTATTCCCTTGAACCCCAAGCATACAGCGATGAGCCTCATTCGCCGACTCGGCTCGTTTGAGCTGAGCAAGTTCTGTCTCCACCTGCAGATGTTCAACTTCCCTAGCTAGCAAGGTTTGCTCTTGCCCAGAAGATATGAGTGATGGCGAGCTTTGTCCGTGATTTCGGATCGTCGCCTTTCTGCCCGGCACATTCTCTCCTGGCGATCGTCCGAATAGTCGTCTACCCGGAGATTCCCGTTTCCCCGCCTTGTCCGATTCCAACACAGCGTTATTGCGATCCATCCGTCGCATGCTCTCCTCACAGACAGATTCTGGTCACAGCGGCCTAAATGCCATGGTCACGACTTCAGGGGGCCTGCGCGGCCCCTAAGTCCAACTTCGCCTGGCTCAGCTCGCTTGCGCTTGCCTGCGCCGAAAGGCTTTCTCAGCACTAACGTGCAGAAACTGCGTCGGAAACCATGGCCTCCTGGTCTTGCTTCGTGCGCACCTGCGCCCCAGCATGACAAGGAAGCCAACAGCGAACAGCTGCTTCAAGCGCATCCTGCACTGGCCTGCATGGCCTTCTTCTCGTCCTTCCAGGCTACATGTGTCCCAGTTTTCTTGTTAGGAGCCTTCTGCCATTGATGATCCAATGGCCTCAGCGCTCTTCATTGCAGCTTTCTCGGATGCCTGCACCGATACTCTGGATTTTCTTTTCCTTTTTCGGACGAACAAACCAACGATTTGTTAAGGCTGGCACCTCAGTCATGGTCTCGTACTTGTTGCAGCTGGCCTGCCAAAAATAGTCTAGACTCCGTGCACTCAGTTCATCACGTGCTGAGATTCTCGCCTCCGTCCTGAGAAGCTTTGCACGCGTGCTCTCCAGCTCTGTCCCAGCTGCTTTCAACTTCTCCTCTGCGAGAGCCTGTCAGAACGAGTACGAACAGTCACTGCAGCCAACACTCTGGCGGTGGTGCCCCGGGTGACCTTCTCGCTGTAGAAAGCCCGAGCTTCTGCCAGGTTGGTCACCCGGTAAGCCTCAGTCTACGCTCTCATATCTCGGCTGTGTTTGCTCATGGCTTTGCTGAGTCTCCGACATCTGTTCGCACAAGCAACTGCTGCGTTTGCTCATGGCTTTGTGCCTCTGCTGTGTCTGTGTCTTTCCCAATCGCTGTTCCTCTGAAGTCCAAAAGGTCTGCCCGCCTCGGACACCTCGTAGGCTCGCAGATTTGCCACGTTCGCCTGGAGTCTTGCTTGCTTGCTTGCTTGCACAATCTCTCTCTCTCTCTCTCTCTCTCTCTCTCTCTCTCTCCCTCCCTCCCTTTCGTCCCGCCTTAGAGTCGGCGAGCTCTTGCCGCAGCTCGCAACATTCAGCCTGGCGTCGTTATATTATCTCTATGTCTCTCTCTCTCTCTCTCTCTCTCTGTCAAGTGCCTTGGCTTCCTCAGACACCTCCTTGAGCTTCCTCGCCAGCGCTGCGTTTCTCTCCTCCAACTTAGCCTGCGCAGCCGGTGTCTGCCGCTTCCGCTCATTCTCCTGTCTGTCGGAGCGCCATGCGCCGTCCCACCGCTGGCGCTGATTGTGTGCCATGCTAACGGTGCTTGTGCTGCTGCTGGTGCCTGTGCTGCTCCTGCCGCCGGTGCTGCTTGTGCCGCTGTTCTGCTGCTCGAGGTGCTCTTGCAAGGTGCGGTGAGCATGTCAAGTCCGCGCGGGTGCTGCGCTGATGCCGGTGCTGATGCTGGTGTTGCTGCCAAAGTTAGGATGACTTCATGCGTTGATATGGAAAGGTCATGAACACTGCTGGACTTAGGACGTGATTTCGCTCCATCGTCACTGCTCGAACACTAAAGGTTGAGCTGATGTAATTTCTTTGCATCGCAGACATGTTGAGCAGACATATCAGCAACTTGCTCTTCAATCCCTGACTAGCGAGCACTGATCAACACTGCCTTCATGCCGAATGTTTCGACAAACTAAACACTGGCTGCTGAGGTCTCCGGCCGCCTCAACACCGGCGACAGGTGCCTAGGCACACTTCAGATGGCAAATGGTTCTGTGGCTGGGCTAAGGGTGCAGAGTCCAGGCCTGTGGGTTTCGCAAAATCTTCGGCAAGGGTGCAGTCAGTGCAGTCAAGCAAACCGACACAGGGAGCCCCCGGCATCGGAGAAAGCCCTAAACCCAGAAGCGTGTCTGGAGTCTTGACATAATTCAGCAGCAGACAGCCACGCACGAGACATCTCTTCGTGTCCAACACATAAAGATCTGCAGCATCAGTAATAACAGCTGTGACCGACGCTTGTCTGAGGCCGCTTCTTCGATAAGCTTTCTCGCGGGGCACCTGGCGTGACAGAGAGTGGCGAGGATCCCCAAGAGGATTCTGAGTTGCATGGCACAGGGCAAGCGCGAACTTCAAGCCCCATTTCAACCCCTCTTGAACAAACCCCTCTTGATCCTTGTGTCTGCTGAGGTTTCCGGCCGCTTGTGTGACAATGCAGTGAAGGCCTGCCGGGAGCTGGCTTGCCCACCCTAGCGCAACAAGTCCCTAACCGCTAGAAGTGCCTGCATTGTTACAGGCGCAAGCACACGTATCCGAGAAGCCCGACACCCCTAAAGCCCTGAACCCTTCAAACCCCTTTTCAACACCTGAAACCTCAAATCCCATTTCAACCCCTCTTGAATAAACCCCTCTTGAACAACCCCTCTTGAACAAACCCCTCTTGAACACCACCGGAAACCGGAAACCAGACTTCGGAAGTGCCCCTTCCGAAATAGGGGAGGATTCAGAAGTGGGGCCGGGAAGTGTTTCGGAAGTGCAGCAGAAGCAGGCTTAATTTGGGCGAAACCTTTTCCAAAGGCAATTGTGCTGCTTTGTGGGGTCAGTAAAGCTTTGAGAAGTTTGGAGTTGAAGCGCCCACATTAAGCGCTCGCGATGACCCTAGTAAAGTACTCTGCAAATGCACGTCCAGTACTTCGCCAGGGTCTATATATGAGTTATATGTGTATATGTATATATATATATATACCTGGAACCGCAAACCTCTGTATAAATACAGGCGCACTCACTCTTTAACATAAACGTGAGCGTTTGCCCAAACAACTACATTTTACGGCACCATGACTTCAGGGTTGGAGGGCTCCAGGGGTTCAGGGCTTCAGGGTTACGGGTTTTCGGGATTGAGGGCTTCAGGGTTTGAGGGTTGCGAAGTTGTTGCCGATCAGTTTGTCTCAAGATCAGAGTACAGAAACACGATTACAGCCATCTTGAAAGCAGGACCAATCCTTGTAAAGTGAATCCAACACTCAACCCTACAACCCAAAACCCTCTCGGCTTGGATGTTTTCTGGCGCCGGCGGACGATCCGCGCACAAGGAGCGATCCTGGGCAGGGCTTTGGGCTCGAGGGTTTTATAATTAACTAAAGCTAGGATTCTAGGGTTCTTGTGGGGTTAGCGTAGGTTTGTTTGGGATTTTGTCTAAACGAATACAATAGAATGATCAACTCGTGTCGATCGAAAAGCGTGTATAATAGAAAATAGTGGTCAGATCAAACTGGCTGCTGCAGAGTCGCTCAAGCGAACATGCTCATATCAAGCATCGCGTAAGCATCCTTCTCGAGAGCTGCCTTCATCAAGAAAATATACCGTTGAAGAGTCTTGACAGCAACGGCACGCGGGCTTACCCGGCGACTCACGCGAGCCGCCCGGCCCACGAAGTCTTCACTCATGAAGGTCGCCTCCGCAAATGGGTTGATTGCAGAGCCGTTGGAGAGCCACTCTTGATAGGTCCGCAAGAAGACATGGTTCAAATAATGAATTTTCGGACGAAGCTTGAACAAGCTCAGTGATCGGTCGTAGCATTTCCGCACGAGAGCCGAATATCGCATCAGAAATGCGTAGCCGCTCTCAACAACAGCTTCCGTATCTGCAGGGGACATGAAGTACTCTGCTTTCAAGCATGTCTTGATCACCCTTTCCATTGCCTTTGCAGCTGCCAAAATCTCCTGCAATATGTCGTCGCCCCGAACCGAAGCCTGGAACTGAGGGAGCTGAAGTAGGTGAATGATGAATTTGGAGATCGTCGCTGTATCCATGTTTTTGGACCACTTTCCCTCAGGGTACTCCCTAGTGCTGCTGTATCCCAATAGATCTTGCGTAAGCCGTCCACAATGCAGCCTTGATTTCGACTGTCGAAGAAAGGATTTTAGGAAGCCGTTCAATTCATTCAGGTCGCGAACTACGCCTCCTAGCCCAAATAGCGTCTTCATCGAGTAGACCAGTGCACTGGCCGTGAAGTCTTGTCCTGTGCCTGCATGCCACACGTGGAAGAAGTCCGCCTTAAAAAAAGCCGCCGGTGTGTCGCCAGCATCACACAGCATGTATTGAAGCAATGGGCCCCCAGCACCGTCCCACGGAAGCGGGTTATTCAAACCGCAAGTCTGAATCCATTCAGGGCCAACGAAGCCCAGGTGTTCGAAAGGGATATGAACATCGTCCTCCGGCGACTCGTGTCCAGCATGACAGAGCCAGCAGCATCCAATCTGTTTGCCTGTTGAAGAGAATCGCTTGCGAATGTTGTGAAAGGAACGGTTGGTCTTTGCGACCTTCTTGACAAAAGGAGAATCCCCAGTGAAACCCAAAATAACGATGCGCCAAGTGCTCCCTGAGGCATGAAACCCATGCTCCAGGAGCGAATGCAACTCCCGACCCCAAATATCCATGACATCATCGAAAATTTGGCCATCAGTCTTGGCCACCAAACTGCTGACAACAGAAAACAAGAACCGTGTGGCCCCGGAATTCCCTTGCAAGTTGATACCAAGCTCGGGTTCAACTTCGGCTCGTCGCTTCGAACTTAAGTCCACAGATCTCTCTCGCGAACCAGTACCCAGGGCTGGAAACATAGATAAGATCTCGATGGAATCTTTCTTGTACCCTCGGCCACCATCCCCGTGCAAATAGTATGGGATGAGCTTCTCATAGTCAAGATTGCCAGGGTGGTTAAACACTTGGTGTTGAGGGTGGTGTTCGCGAAACTTCTTCCAAAATAACCGAAGTGATTCACATGCTAAGTGAACGGGTACCCCCAACACTCGATGGAAGTAGCCTTGCTCACTCAAAGCTTCCAGCAGGGCCTTCGGTTTTATGAAAGGGTACCTATGCGCGTTGCCAGCCTGCTCCCAGCTAAAGTCGATAGGCAAACCCAGTCCATGTTTCTGCAGCAACTCATACAGGGGAGCATCCGCATTAGACAACTGAATCTTTGCAATCTGGGCCAGCACCTTGCAAGGATCCGTCTTCACAGCTGCGGCAGCGTCGGCCACCAGATCTTTGGCGGGGACCTTGGCCGATCGAGCTTTTAATTCATTAACCTCTGTAGTGACCGGGAAGATAGATTGCAATCATTCGAAGATCAGCACGGGTCGGGTATGTGTGCATCCTGACTGACATAAACTCGGGCTTTTGATCTGCCATCGTGCGATGAGTCTGTCTGTCTGTGTGAAATCACACATACACCAGCTAGCATCGAGAACTCAATAGCAGGAACAAGCCGATCATCCTAGGATGGGCTTGCGCTGGGCAGCACTTGTAGCTGCACAATACGCAAAGTAGGGTGCCGAGAACCTTGGCGAGAAGTCTTTCCTACGCATACTCTCACCGCCCAGCTGTTTATTTCGGCAACATCTTTGACCATCGTAAAACTCGGCAATCAATGCAGCCTCAAGCATCTCCAACATCCCCAACAGCTCTGGCCTGGAAACCTTGTGCAGCACAACGAAGGACTGGAAGTTCTGATCGAAGTAGCTTTGGCTGCGCCGAACAGGATCGGAAGTGAGACCAATTTTGAACACACAAAGACCATTGCCCCCATGCTTCTGCCGCAGGGCATTGATTTCCTTCACACAATGCCAAAGAATCTTCGAAGCTACAGCGGTTTCTGAAACCAATGCCCCGTCCAGGTGTGATGCTGCCACTTCCTGCGAGGTGGGTGTATCAGGAATCCGAGTGCTTGCAGAAGCCGCCGAAGTTGGGGTACCCATGCTGATATCGGACTGGTTTTGCTGCATCGCATCGTCTTCGGAATCACTCCATGGGAATATTTGCAGTCTAGTCCCAGTCGCCATCGAGAAACACACACGAAGGCATGCTACCTCTTGTGCTGCATACAGCTCATGGGTTGGTGCATATTCAAGTACTTTAGAAGAGGAAGCACAGTGCAGGTGATGCCTGACATCATATGGATCGCCTCACATCTCTGCGCTGGGGCCCCAGCACCTTTCCCATATTTCGCAGCGATGAGGTGCACTTGTCGACTGAGATTCGCAGTTTCGCAGCTGCCTGACAGGTCGTTGTTCAAAGATAAGAGTTACACCAAAATATTGGGCCGGTCGAAAAGATAGGAGGCATGAACACAGGTGTGCAGTATGGACAATGGCTGGGCTCTTGTATCGTTAGGCTCGAGAGCTGGATATGCAGGGTTGTTATATGATCTCGGCCAGAGAACAACAAAGTAGAGACGATTCCTCTTGTGCAATCGGACATGTGTAGCTGAACCTGAGTGATAAAGAAGCCTTTGAATCAATGCAGTAGGTGGTGATTCCCTTAAATGGAACCGTCTTACACGATCATAATACAGGTTGTTAGACTAAGTCTCACAAAAGATTAAAACCATGCCCCCCCTGACACAATCACATTTGTTAGCTTGAAGTTGCTTCGCTCGTCACGATCCCCTGGAACGTGCTTCTCGTCTCATTGAAATACAGAAGCTAAAGGGAGGACTCTGGCGTGCAGCCGTGTCCAGCTAGAAGGCCTCAGCAGCCACAAGTAAGAAGATACCAGAGCAAGATTCCGTGTGGCCCGAGCAGCCCGGCCAATATGATCTACGACCACTTCGATCGACTGGTGTATGCATGTAGCTCACAGACTATCTGTCACTTTGGCCGCCGAAACCTGGAATCCTAATTTGCATCTGTGATGCGTGAAACATCTTCATCTTGTGCTGCACATCATGTGGCGCGCTGGCTTCCACACATGTGCAATAAGCCCTTGTATGCCCATGACACATTGAAACCTGAGCACGCAAGCACTCTCTAAAGTTTCAGCTACAGGTGGATAGTAGGTTGTGTCTAGTACAGGAATTACATTACGAAGCACCGAACTCTAAGTATCAATGCTAGGTATCTCTATATTCCTCGTTCGAAGGAACAGGTACATGTGCCAATGGCATGCTACAGCTACTGTAGCTGTAGCGAAGCCCAAAATCAAAACCGCCGCCGAGACGGGAGCTCATACCTCTTTCTTCGCCGCCTTCCGCACTCTGCTGAGCAGTGACCTCAGAAGAAATAGGCTAGCTATTTGCATAGACCCTGTAAGATTGCTATAGAAGGGTTTATATACTTCTCGATCGGAGATGTAGGCCAATCTCGTCTGAGCCAGATCTTTGGCTACACTAATGTTAACACACGTGAGCCCTCTATGAACTCGATCGATCTGAACCCCAGCGAAGCAAGCCCTAGACAGATCCCCTCACCACATCTTATATGTACGCTTATACGAACGCATGATCATAGCTTCCATGCAATGGGGCCGGACACTGGGCCGAAGATTATGATATGCAACTTGTCTAGAGACTGAAGTAAATCCACTGAACCCTGCAACCGCCTCGAACCCCTTAAACCCTAAGCCTCGACCCCTCCGCCCCAAAACCTGCCATCCACACAATTCTTAATTCAGGCGCAATACGGAGCAGATCTCTCAATCCTGATCCCAGATGTGCCCTCCCTCAGATTCGCAAGACCCCTAAACTCCTAAACCTCCGAAACCCTTATATCCATTCGACCAGAAGCTTGTTGGCAGCCTCCATGGCCGTAGATTTCGCCATCCTGGGGATTATATTTTTGCACAGATCACAGGAGTCTTGAAGGTACCGGTCGTGCTTATTCCACAACATTCAATCCATCGGCCCAAAAAAGTCTTCCAACACAGCACAGGAATATACGACTGCATTCATGTACATTGACACACTGTGTCACGTTACAGCCAAGACTCAGCTTCTGAGCCTTCACAAACAAGCTCTTGCACTCGGTCTGAAGCCTCGGCCCGTCCCAAGCGTGCCATTCAATTGTTTTATTTTTCTGATGGTTGGGGTTCTTCCACATAGGGCAATACAACTTAGGTTTGGGGTTTAGGTTTGGGGTTTCAGGTTTAGGGTTTGGGGTTTATAGGTTGTATTTCAATTATATAAGGAGAATTCATCGAGCTTACAACAACGACCCACCCCAAATTGTGCAGCCCGATAACTTCTCACTGTAGCCGATGGTGCCCCCTTCAGCCTTGATCTCGGACATCTCCTCGTAGATAGCCTCGTACTCCTTAACCACGGCATCCATCTTCTTCACTGTCCTCGACGAACAGGTGTTTCTTCGTCGGCCGGATTGTTCATATTAGCCAGGCTCTCGAGATGGTTTGATTCACATGCATGTGTTATGTTCTGCTAAGCCACGTGCTTGCCTTTGGATCACTAGATCCTGCTGTCTTCATCTTATCCACGAAACCCTCAAGGGAGTTCTTGGCCTTCAGCACACTCTTCATGTACTCTTTCACTTGCGATGCAACCTGAGATCCAGCCGAGCGGTGTGTCTAGGAAGATTATCGACGACAGAGTCTAGTCTTGCATACATAATCTTGACCCGGTCCAGGGAACACTCTTGTGATGATCACCCTCAAGACCCTTATTGCTGGAGTGAACCATGTCGTCATCATCAGAGAAAGAGAAGCCTTCAAGATTCACTGCCTGCTTGACATTCAACTCGGTTCCGCCTTCGCCTTGGTACTGCCGCTCCCGTTGCATCATCTCAAAGTCCTCCTTTGTCATAGTTCCGGATGTTCGGGTGTTCACCCAATACTCCAGCGTCTCGTCGTCGTACTCACATGTCCTGGGTTTCGGGTAATGCTTCGACAATGAATATTGGGTTGCAGGAATCGGCCGGTATGATATGATGTCGATCGAGGGTTTAATGTGCCCTATATAGAATACACACTCCAGTCCAGAGAATGCACACTCTAGTCTAGAGCACCGAACAAATTCTATCGAGCTACATTCGAGGCCCTACATAGGAACACCTCCCCCCAAAGGGAGCGCAAAAATCTGACTGGGGCTATCCTCCAAGTGCCCTAGAGCTCCAGCCTCAGACCTTTGAGCGTCGACCGGCTATAGACTTGTGTCCGCTGGGTTTTTACATTGTAGAAACCAATCGAGTTCTATTGTCCCATGCAAACAACAATGCTCGACCCAACTGGTTTCATCTTTAAGGCTTTTCGGGTTTATAGGGTAGATAGATCGCGCGATCTAAGTCTGTGGGTTTGAGAGGATGTATATACTTATAGTTTTTGGGTTTGAACATAATTTAATTCGAGCTAGTGGCCGGACAAGGCCTTTCTTCTCCGCCCAGGCGACGATCTTCTCGATGCGGGACCTGGGCTTCGTTTTCATGGAAATGGCGGTGCAAGGTCAGCTGGGGCAGTCGGTTTTATAGCTTGCATTCAAGTGTCGCCGAATAAGCCAATTCGGTCCGCATATCGTCTTTACTATAAAAGCCGCCTTTGACCTCCAGCTTTTTGCTTCTCGTGGAACGAGTGATGATCGTCAGGGATTCCATGAAGACAGCCTGAGGGTAGTCACTATTGAGCTAGCTAGTCACATGCAGTTCTGTTCTATCCCTACAAGCTCAAATATTGGGGCCCATTCCTGCCTTCACACCTCCAGACTTTGCCCACATGCGAAACAAGTTGTCCCGCCCTTTTCCGGCATCCTTCCACATCTCGAAGATGTTCTCTGGCACTTCCAGATTCCCCGATCCCCGTTTCGGTGTCACGATCCTTCTCACCTTCTCTTTCTCAAGCTTGCTAAGGTCGTGAAAGTTCAGGACTTTCGGGGGTTCTTCATCATCATCACCATCAACATCATCTGGACACTCAGAAGGCTCCTCGACGGGCTTTACAGGCTTCGTTGGCGTCAGAGGGTGCGGGCGCTTGGATCCTCGGGTGGCGCTGGTAGGGCTCTTGAGAACCTCGACATGGCTCGTCACATGCCCTCGTGGCTTGTTCTCCGTCTCCGGAGGCACAGCCGCCGCTGGCTTCTCGAGCTTCTCGGGAGGCGTGGGCTGTTGGCAGGCTTCCTGTGGCTTGGGAATGAGACAGTTAAATCTTTAAGTGTGCACAGACTAGACACGACCGACCGGATCATGTAGGCAGGCAGACATGTATACCAACTAAGCATCATTGCGGCCCGTTGTTGACAAGTATAAGCTACAGTGGCTGCATTCATCCTATTTTAAAACATAGTCCCAGGCTCCTTCTTCAGCTTGGTAAGCTCCTCCTGCTGGGTGGTCACGGTTGCCCGGAGCAGGTTCAACTTGTAGAGCAACTCCTGGATTTGACTACAGGAAGGGATTCGGCGTCTACACCAATATCGGTTTTGCATTTCGGGGATCTGTCCTGCTGAACCAAAGCTTGGTTGGATGAGGGCGACGACATCGACGGGCTCGGGGTCGGGCTTGCGATCTCTGAAGATGGGGAGGGAGCGACTGCTCCCTGCTCCTTTTTCACCTTGGATTATACTTATATAGGGCTTAGGGTGTACTAATCGATTCGAAGGGGTAAAAGACCCGATGCTTTAAGCCTGATTTTATTCATGCAGGCCTTTGATCGAACTATCTAGCTGTAACGTCTGTCGGGTTTATGTAGGTCGGGCGGGGTATCTAAGTTCAGGTGTTGGAAGCCGAAACCGATATGTTATCGTTACCCGCGGAAGCATACAATGCTCGCACCATTTAATCGGCTTTAAGATCTTGCATATGCAGGAGCATTTGATAGTCTGATCCATATATAGTTATCAGCAGAAACAAGAAAGTGTGCGAGTGCGATGGTGTAGGTTAGGTCGATTGCATGCGGTACGTAGGACTGCATTGATAAGACAACCGCTATCTGGCTTTAATTATTAAGATTAATAGATAAACCCAGCCACAGGCTGCAAGAGCGGCTGCCGGCACACCTCGGCCAGCTGCGTATCCGACGCAGGCTCGGTCTTCACTTCTGCTTGAGCAATCTGCAGAGCTTTCTCCAAGTCCTGGACTTCGAGGCTTTATTTAAGTCTACTTTCCATAGGGTTGGGCTTATATTGTGTTCGCATGGGAATTAGCAGTGGTATCAGGTTACTTTAGGGCTTCGGGGTGTTGGCTCCATCAGCCAGAGGGATGGATCAATGTGGTGATAGCATCATCTCTCTCAAGGCTAGGCAGTTCAAACACAGGTATCCTGAGCCACGTTCCGAAGTTCAGAGAGGTCGCCACTGGACGCGACGCGCAGAAGGCACGAAATGCCGGAGGCCAGCGATTCCGCGCTGTGAACATCCCTGCGCAAAGCCATGGCCAAAAACCTGCAACCCGCAGCCTGCGAGAAAGCGTACGAAACTCAGCGCAAATCGAGGCCAAAATCAGAAACAGTTGTTGCGTGCAGAAGCGCGCTCGTTGCGTGACAAAGAGTGGGTGTTGCGTGCCTAAAAGTGGTTGTTTGGATTTTGCAAAATCGCGCGTTTCTTGCATAACGGCGCGAAACACTACACAACGCAAAAGTTCTGAGCCACACTTGCCTGGAGTACGCGGTTTTGGGCTTTCAGGGCTGCGGGCTTCAAGTTTCCAGGCTTTGGGGGCTGCGGGTTTCAGGCTTCAGGGCTGCGGGCTTTAGGTTTATATAGGGCTTAGGGCTTGGTTTCCAGAGTTGCGGGCTTCAGGTTGCCAGGCCCGCTGGGTCCAGGTTTGCAGGCATGCGGGATTCAGGTTTGCGGGGCTGCGGGATTTGGTTTCCGCGGGGCTGCGTGTTTTAGGTTTCAGGGCTGCGTGTTTTAGGTTTCAGGGGCTGCGGGCTTCAGGGTTGCGTGGCTTCCGGCTTCAGGTTTCGGCCTCTGGGTTGCGGGGCTGCGGGGTTTCCGGGCCTGAGGGCTTTAGGGTTGCGGGGCTGCGGGCTTGCAGTTTCAGGCTTCAGGCTTCCAGGGCTCTACGGGCTTCAGGTTTCCAGTGCTGCGAGGTTCGGGTTTGCGGGGCTGCGGGCCTTAGCTTTACAGCGCTTCACGTTTGGAGGGTTGCGTGCTTCAGGTTTCCAAGGCTCCGGGCTTCATGTTTCCAGGGTTGCGGGTTTCAGGGTCTGAGGTTTCATTTCTTTGGCGGTTTGGACCCAGTTTTGGCTTATGATGCAGGAGATTAGAACATCGGTTTTAAGACTGTGGGGCCTCAGGTCTCCGGGCCTTATGGGGCTTTGTGTTTTGGGCATTGAAAGCTTCGGTGCCAGGACCGTGCTTCAGGGTTCAATCCCAGCAAAGCAGCAGCCCCGAAACCCGCGGCTTTAGGCAAGGATGACGCGGCGTACATGCGATGGAATAGAAGAGCCCTGGTCTGCAAGATTATAATTATAATGCTATATGCAAACACAACCCCGCATTTGTCCATAAGCTCAGTTGGGACCTCTATGCCCCGAAACACAGCCGCAACACCGTCACGGACCCCTGCATGCAAATTAAACTCTATAAAAGGAAACGCACTCGCTGCCTAGTCAACCATCTAGCTGACCGCACCTACTCTTATTGAACCCCTGAAAAACATCAGCCTCCAGCTTCTGTTCGGCCAGCAGCTATCGATCGTTGTAACGGTGCAGCTACATAACCCTAGCCGTTTAATGCCGTTTAATTGCAGGAGCAGTGTAGCGCTATAATTGAATTATGACCATTTAAATTTGGTCACAGAGCCGGTGCTTGGAAGTTGTGGCACACAGTTCCCCGCACAATCCTCTTGGATTCCAATATAGAGCCTAAATAGGGCCCGGGCTAGATAGACTAAGTTATCGATCGAGCATCTATACGGCCATACGGGACTAATAAGTTTTTGAGTTTTTGGGGTTTGCGGGGTTGTTAAGAGCGGTTTCCAGGCCGGTTTAGTGTTGGGCCTATGCTGCAATTGAGGGGTTCTGCATGCTACATCTGAAATAACTTCCATCCAGGCCGGTCTTACAAAGGCTTTGGGGTTTTGTAGACAGGGTATGCAGGGTTTCCAAATCAACGATGATTGTGCGGCTTTTCAAGCTTAGGCTCACATCTGGGCTATTTCTTTTCCCGCATCAGGACATTAGGTGAGGGAGGGGGTTTCAGGCCCGATGGATCTATATGTCAAACATGCAGCTATGCAGGACATATGTGGCATGCTATGCCGGAACACCATAAACCCTAAACCCTATCTAAGCCCTATAAAGCTTAACCCTGGACCCTAAACCCCACTAAACCCTGTGAGCCCTATATATATATAAACTCCATATAAGCCCAAATCCCGGAACCTTGAAAAGTAAACCCCCAACCCTGTAAACACTGAACTCTCAACCAAAGATCTACGACCTGCAGGGCCCAAGGGTTTGGATCGTGAGGCCCGCGAGAAACTGCCTGAAGCTGCTGGGGACTGCACTCCGACAATCAAACACCGGAACCTGCATGTAACTCTGCCAGCACCTACATGAAAGCTCCTGAGACACACCTAGGATGCAGGCAGCATGGCCCGGCATGGTTGTGTATATAGTACGTATATTCTAGACGTACAGGATACGTGCTGGCAGCTGCAAGCTACTGAAAATGAGCCCCCGGGAAGCAATCTCTCCATTCTGGAGGGATGACCAACCCTTTAGCACCGTATACGTACTTCAGTAGCTCGGGAACACCAGCATCCAACCAATCGTCTGCACCCATGTCCATTCTCCGAAGCTTATCCCTCGTCGAGGCATCTATCATGGAGCTGTGCCGCAGGGCCGGGCACTCATTGAAGTTCGGGAAGAGCTCGACCATGTGTTCGGCAAACTCTTTCGTGTAGTTCCTGGGAGAGGAAGCTTCGAGCTTTCGTTGCGATGTTTTTGCGTAGGGCAGCCTTTGTGGGGTTTTCGGTACAGCTCCAATGCAAATTTTTGGGGCTTATGTAGGGTTTAGGGTCTGCGTGATTCACCGTACACAAGTGTTGCCGGGCGTCTGTGTTGCCTTCAAATGCGTATTCCCGGAAAACTTGACCCGACCATCTTGTCCATGCTTACGAGTCACGGGCTCAATGCTACCATGAACGGCCCGAAGTAGTTTCTTGCTTTGGCCAGTCAATTTACCCTTGTCGAACTTCAAGACTTTCCGGCTCGAGCTCCATAAAACAGTCCGCTTTGGACACTTGTGCTTGTAGTGCATCATCCAAAATCTGCAAACGAAAACCTGTAGGATACAGGGGGCGGCAGGACCTATGCCTAATATGAGGCGAGAGTACAACAATCAACCGCGATCGATATATGCATGCTTGCAAATGAAGGGGCCTTGTGGATCCTGGAAAACCATTGGAACCGAGGATGTCGCCATATCAAGGAGGAGCCAGGTTGCTCGATAACCCAGGCAGCCCCGCATGCCACGCACAGCAATGACAAAAGTATGGTCCTACCGAGGCAGGCAGCGAGCTTGCTTCTTCCAGCACAAGAGGCCTACGGAACCATGTTTGGTTAGGGTTTAGGCTTCAGGGTTTCTGTTTAAGGGTAATGTTTTCCCATGCAACACACGGTCTCCTGCACAGCTGTTGGTTTCCCATTTGCACTGATGGGGCTTGTCCATCTCCACAAGGATTGAGGAAAGTTCTTTTCGTACTGTTTCGGCAGATTGACACCCAAGAAGAACATTGCAGCCCTGACCATAATGTGAAGCCCGAGGGACGCCCGTGCAGGATGGACAGAATGTGCAACCTGAATTTCCCAGGAAGCAATCTCATGCACTACATAGACATACACTGCTTAGGTTAATGCACATCCACATGCACAGCCTGTCTCTAAGACTCTAAGTCTCGCTCGCAAAGCCCGCTGGAGATAGAATGTCCATCCCGCGGTGAAAAGCAATATCCAACGCAGCTGTTCGCCCGTACACGGACCCGATCTCCCGAGACAGTGTTCTAGAGCCCGCGTAGTGCTCAACGAACACAAACTCCTCTAGCGATCCACAAGGGGCACAAAGAACACATACCCCGGTTTTCAAAGTAGCCGGCTTGCAGTCCTTCTCAAGCCTGAAGCGTTCGTTGAACAGCAGGCACAGCACTGCGAGGATGAAGACCTGCGTTGGACGCACGGCACTGAGGAACACATGTGTTACAGCCGGCATGATATTCACGTTCGGTGCTAAGATGTTTTGGCTTCGGCTGTCGGTAGCTTGATCGACATGCAAACACAAAGCCTGAAGCATTCTGGAGAAGCCCATGTATGTGCGGCAGTGCGCAAAAGCACGTCGACCCTTATCCGGCCTTCGGAGCTTGAAGCCTTATGAGGTTGTCAACAAGCTGCAGTGGGTCCATGGCGACAAGGACAGGGTTGGGCTGGTTACAGAACTTGCTCCGGAAGAGGCACCGACAATAAAGCGTATGCATGCAGTTCCATGTAGGCAGATGCAACGGTACACATCTCGGGCTGCCGAGCTGGAAACCAAAAGCTTTCAGTGCACATTTTCTTGACACTGACATGCTGTGGTTCTCCTGGACGTGGATAGAACAATCAATCTGAAGTAGTGTGCCTTCCCTTCGGATCGTGCCTGAAGAAGACTCCAGAGTGTCTTGGCTGTCGTAGTCGCGAGGACCACGGGGCCGAGGCGGCATCACCTGCGCGATGGGAATCATCGAAAATGTTGGCTATGGGCTCTCGGCTGCATTAAGCTTCTCAAGGACATTGCAGCAACAAAAACTGTGTTCCGCAGTGCAAACATGCAGTGTGCTGAGTCCATGAATCCGAGCTTTTTCACCGGCTGTGATTGGAAGGCTGAGTGCACACGAGCCGATTGAAGCTTGAAAGAGGATCCACTTCCGGACCCGCGCAGGCAGCCAACACTCGATCGCAAGCACACGAGAGTAGAGAGGATTGCAAGTGCTATCTATCGCGATTAATTCGATCGAGAAGCTACAGCCACACAATCACTGATTCATTGATGCTTTGAGGTGCATGCTGGCTGCCGGATGCATCCAAAATCCGGGGGTCGAGGCCAAAGCTTTATGTTCAAGCGCAGCAGGAGGTTCTTTTCCCCAGGGTCCCCCTCTGCACTGAAACACGCTGCCACTCGATAAACACATCAGTTAGCCTGAAGCGTAGCCTCGTATGTCTTCAGTGTCGGCTTTTTCTTGCGACAGAAGAGATCTTCCCCGTCAGAGGACCATGTTTTGCCTGGGAAAGTCTCTGGAGCTATAGGACATTTGCGGAATTTAGGCACGACGGCAGGAACAAATGCAATTCAAGAAGCTGATACCATCGTCCATCAAAAAGGAAAAAGTGAGGTTCTTGGCCACCTTAGCCCAAGCATCTGGATCTGAGATCTTGTCCTCCTTCGTAGCCTGGGCCACATACTTCCAGAAGTCGTCCTGCAAGTAGCTACAGACCAATTAACTATCAGAACAGAAGCTGGAGCACACAAGACAACATGAACTATGTAGGAAAGTCCTCCAACTTGCCCGGGAACTTGAGGAATGGCCGGATTCGTAGGTCGAATGCGTCCCGGATCCCCAAAAACTTCGCTTTGAAAAGCGGTCGCGTTGGGCAATATCGGCGGGCAAACGTCGATACCTTCTCCTCCCCCCCTTCCTCATTCTTTTCCTGCTCCTCCTCCTCCTCCTCCTCAGCTGGCTCCGGCTTGGAAGCCTTGGCCGGCTTGGCCTTCTTGTGCATCTGCCCACGACCACGCTTTGCAGGGCGCTCGGCAGGAAGCTCTTCAGGAGCAGCTCCATCGTACTCTTCCTCGTCTCCGGGCCAATCCTCACCACTGTAGTATTCGGTCTTGTTGTCAAGATCAGCAGCGTCTGCTGCCTTGGCACTTTTCTTGCCCTTGTTGCCCTTCTTGCCCTTCTTGTGCTTGGCGATCAAGCGGTGCTTCGTAGACTTCCGCACAAGCTTTGTCCGATTCTTCCGGCTCGAAGGAGCGGGTGGGTCGTCGCCAGCCGGCTCGTCGCCAGCCGGCTCCTCATCATCCACACCATCCTCAGAAGCCTCGACCTTCTTGCCACCTCGGGGCTTTGGCAAAGCCGCGGTCTTTGCCTTTGCTTTGGCTTTGGCCTTTGCTTTGGCTTTCGCCTTCGGAGGCTTCGAACCCTTTTTTGCCGGGACTTCAGGCTCTGAAGCTTCCTCCTCATCGGCGTCGCCGTTGTTCAACTTGCCCTTCTTGCCCGCAGTCATACCCAATTGATCTTGCCGTGTGAGAACCGACGCAGACTCAGATCACATGGACACTCTGACGAAACATAGGATCATGGGTCCATGTACTCTCGCACATGTATGCATGGTCCTATTGAAGGTAGAGGTTCAGCCTGCGTGCAAAATGACACTTGAATTCAATTTTTGCCTCGTGACTGGTTTCTTGGTGTCCTCCTCCTCCTCGAGCAGTGCCGCTGCCCGCTTCAAGCGCTGCGACCTGGCGCTTGCAGCAATCCGAGCCTCATCTGCTTCACGCTCCCTTCGCAGCCACTCGTCGACGTAGGATTCCGGCTCCCCACTCCATACCTGCGTCTCCAGCTGGTCCGGATTGGATCCGGGCTCCCAAGACCGTGGCCGGCTCTCCGAGGCAGTCGATCTCGCGCCTGCCGTCCGAATCTAATGCCATTCACTCAAACCCAGAATTGATCCCGCGCTGAAACTTCGAAGCACCTGCACTCCCGGCTGAAGTGGACTGTTCATCTGCATCGGAGTCATCAAACGCAAGCTTGCGCCGCGTAAGATCGGGTGCCGACTGCATGACGAGCTCCTTCGGCACATTAGCATTCTTCAACCTTGGTGGACCCCGCGAATCAAGGTTGCATCACACAAACGAATGCATTGCATCATTGCCATCAACAACCGCCCTAATGCAATGACGCTACTTTTGGTTCACCACAGCCAACACCTCCTTCAGCTTGGCCGGGTCCCAGGAGGCCAATGTAGCAGCCAACCCAGTAGTTGGGGGCGTTCTCACACGAGGGGCAGGCTTGAAGGAAATAATCTCCTTAATTGAAGCATATAGCATCATTTTCTGCAGAAATGAAACTTACCAACATGCTCGCACTCCTGACTCTAATCAAGGCTCAGGACTTCCAGGAGACAACGGATCAGGCTTGTTCTTGGACGGGCTGTCGTTTTGCAAAGCAAGCAAACCCTCGCCATCATCACCAGTGTGACTAACACCACCGGCGTCAACGGCTTCTGCTGCCTCCTCTACAGGAGCGGCCACCTCCGGAGCCGGATCAGGCACCAAAGCCCCTGCACCGGGAACCTCGCTATCCGGGCCACCCGGGTTCTCGACAACATGTCCGACATCCTTTGGAGCATCGGCACGAGCAACCGCCGTGATTTTCCGATATGCTTCGGGATTCAGCGAAATGCCGAGCAAGCGTTCAAGCTCCTCTTGGGGCGGAGCCTTCAAATAAGATAGCAGACTGCTGCCTCGAGCTTCCGTGCTGCCTTGGGACTCCGCTGAGCTTCGTCCGGACATCGAGAGCAGGTCCGCTCGAAGAGACTCGTCGTCCATCTCACTTGAACAGTCGGTTGAGGCAACACTGGCTGCAGGTTGCCGGGGCGACTTTGCTAGGGCACAGCGGCCTTCCTGGATTGAGCAAGCGGACCAGCAATCAGGGACAGCCCAGCGAAACTGCAAGCACGCAACAGCAGTGCATCTAACGAACTTGAAAACAACACGTGCTCTGTTTGACTGAGAAGCAGAATAAGCCTTCGAAACAGCCTTTGCCAGATCCAATACCATGTCGCGAATGTCCTCATCCTGATATGTGCTTAAGCATGGTATGTTTAACGAGATCAATCATGCAACACAGTTTGTAAACTTGCATGCATGAAAAACATCGAAAACAAAATCTTCATGTCACATCCATGACACACGTGGGAGCTCCCATTTCGTCCACTTTCGTTTGATCACAGTCAGCATTGAAAGGATTGCTTTGGCGGATTTAGTGATATTCCTTTCCCTTCTGAGCTTCATCTCCGAGGTCTCAGGCGTCTCTTCCATCTCCTGACTTTCCTTGTAATAGAAGCTGTGAAGGGCTTCTTTGATCGTCACAAGTGGTTTCGAGATTCTCCCTGCTTCGGCCATAACTGCAGTAAAGGGCTTCAGGATAGGATGATTCACCTTAAGATTCGCGAGGCTAGGGCTCACATGGCTCCTCCCTTTGCTATCCTGTACCAACATCATTCGCGATCGCGCACGCTTCCGGAGCACACGGTGGCGCTCCCATGATGCACAACATGCGAGGAAGCTGAGTTTGCCCATCCCCACAACTGCTGACCTTGAACCCCGACTGCGATCACAGCTATAGCTACAGTCTGATCGAGCTATAGGACGACCCCACGCATGACAGAGCCACGCAAAATCAGAAGGGGGACGGCACCTGTCCGCCAGGCTATGGAGACGCCGCCGGCGGCGCCGGCGAACTCCACTGGATCCACCTGTTATGTTGAGTTCGGCGTGAGATTGAAAAAGGCGGCTTTGAGAACACATGCCAGCTGGGCCATGCAGCATGTACTTCAGCTTCAGGAGGCGCGAGGGGAGCGCACATGACAGCAAGGCTTTGTCGATCTTGCAAGAGTATCCTTTATCCACAAATTCGAGTTCCGTGATCCTGACTAGGAAGATGCCGCACATGAGTCACCGATGGTGAAATCGGAAGCCACTGCTATCAACATCTGATAGGACAAGTCCGATCCGAACCTTCCCGAAGCTTAACTTACGTTTGCTCAGCTATATTTCAACGACCATACCTCCTGAATAACTATCTTCTAAGCGGGAAATAATGCTTTTATCGACCATTCATACGATAATGACCCGGACGGCTGCGTGACTTCAGGGATGCTGCCCTGAAGCACCCCGGGGCTTCAGGGACCCCTGCCCTGAAGTTCAGGGGGTCCGATCAAAAAACAGGCGTTTGAAGAAACGCGAGCGTTTGCCGAACATACCATCACAATTTCCAGGCGTTCGCTTTCACAGGTATAACTATATTGTCTAAAGGTTCGGAAGTGAAGTCGCTCTCAGGGTCGCTGAACTGAGCGCTTGCGATTCGCTTCCATGGTCAGTCTACTCCACAAGTTAGCATTTGGCACGAGTCCATCCCGTCTGTTGCAGCCATGATACCTGGTTTCCGCGTACGCACGGATGGCGCGGATTCTGTTGGCTCACCTGTGACAGTGTCGGAGCCTGCAAGATCGCGAGAAACATGCAGGCCGTTGCAAGCGGAAGCAGGTGACGATTGTCATGCCATTCACGCGATGGCTTGCCGCAAGCGTGGATGCACACGTTGCGCGTATGTGCGCAACCAAGACTCCTGGCATGCGCGATGTCCTGCTGGCATTTCGGGACAAACCTGGTTGCTCCCGCAGATGTCCGGAGACAGATTCTCCCTGGCGTGCTGGGTTTGCAAGGCCGCTGGCCAAGATTCCGAATGGACGCAGGGAGTGGAGACGAAGCTGGTTGGCAATTTGCAGAGACACAACGACAGCGCGGTGCACCGTGCGGCATTGCTTCAGCTAGGTTTGGTCCAGCCAGAGGAGAGCGATGTGGTGGCTGGGGCGCCCACCACGGAAGCCTTCCTTTTGGTGCTGCAGCGCCGTCTTGAAGGTCGATCGCTGAAAAAAGCCGAGGCCGGTGTTGGCGCGGAAAAGAAACTGCAGAAGCTCCAGCTTTGCCTCGCAGGCGCATTGACTGCCATGGACCGCGCATTCTTGGCAGATGCCACCTGCGTCAGCTTGTTTCAAGATGTGCGTGATCATAAACTCATGATACGCTTCAAGGCCTGCGATGAGCGGCTCCAGCTGCGTTCGGGCGTAATTGCATACGAAGATCTTCAACTGGAGACCGGGACGGCTGGGACGATTGCAGGTCTCCGACGGGCGTTGCATAAGTTCTACTGCGACATTGACGGCTCCTTTCTCCAGCAGGATTTCGACAAGATGTGCAGCCGAGTGGAATTTTTCTGCTCCGACGCGGCAGCGGATGAACGACTATGTGGGCGCGTTCTCCTGCAGTCCGGCTTGTTCCCAAAAATGCGCTACCAGGTGTTTGATAAGGCACACGCTTGCGGCCGACTGTTGAAACGGCCGTGGCAGTCGAATGACAAGCTCTGGCAAGTGGTGCAGAACTTTGCTTTAGGCCAGCACAGTCTGGCTCATCGTGTGCAATACTCACCTCATCTGGCTCGTGTATTCCAGCATCATTGTACTCTTTCTGAGACCCGGCCGATACGCGCGGAGCGCATACGGTCCCTCAGCTTTGCAAAGCACAGGTTCGGGAGTGTGTCCAAGCCGCTTGGGCGCAGCATACTTTTCATCGAGGCAGTCATTGAGACCAACATTTGGATCACGCTTCATCGTGCCGGAGAAGAGGAAGCTGAGGCCGCGTCAACGTGGCTCGCAGCTGTCACGGAAGAGGATCTTCTGCTAGCAGCGCTTTGCGCTGACGCTGCAGACGAGCTGATGGTTTTCCTGCGAAAGTTCGACAAGGAACCTTTTTTCCTTTGCACTTCGCTAATTGCCCTAGCTTATAACTTATAAGCGGTTGTAATCCATGCCGGCGGGCCTGTTTGTGAACGCCCGCAACAGACGCCAGGAAAACTGGGACACGTCGCAGAGCCAATTCTGGGTAGTGGTCTTTGTTTCGCGATTGCACCATCTCTTCAACCAAGATAATATATGGAACGCAGCGGGCTACACTAACCACATGCTCAAGGTCCTGGAGACCACCAGCTTCGGCATGGTGGTTCAGGGCCACCCCAAGAGCATCGGCGGGCAGAAGATTTCCAATGATCTCAAACGCAGGTGCAGGTTGGAGCTGCAGAGCTGGGTTGTCCTCCTGGTGGACACGTTGAAAACCGAGTTCCCTCACTACGAGCTGCTCTCGAGCATGCAGGTATTTCATCTGAGCAGTCAGACCCAGAACCGCCTTGACGAGGTGAATCCGGACAGTCCCCAGGAAACCCATCGCAGGACGGCACTACGACGCATTGCAGCTGCATGCCGGGTTTCGCTGCAGGAGCTGATGGATGAGTTCTCGGACCACCTGCCGATTGCGCAGCACCTAGCTGCCACGCAAGGCTTGGAGAGTTGGGAGGCCTGGCGAGAAGCTGTGCTCCGCACACAGGCTCGACCATCGGTGAAGCAGAACCACCCTGCAGACAAGCTCAAGGCAGCTCTTTGCAGATTTGGAGCCATGAATTGTTCTACCAGTGGCATTGAACAACTCTTCTCGCAAATTATGAAGCAGACCGGGCACTCTCGAAGCAACCTCTCCGATGAGAGCCTCTTTGCGGAGGTCAAGATCTTCAGTGATGCGAAAAACTCAGAAACACATCCTTCCTTGGTTCGAGGTGCACAGGCTGTCTGGACAGCCTGGTTCGGGGCCGAGCGCCAGACTACACGTCAGCGAGTGGATGCTGGCAAGCCGAAGCAGCAGCAGGCCGGGAGTGAGAGTGCCTGGTTGTGCGAGAGGCGCAAGGTGCCCGCAGTGCTCGTGGATGTGGACCGTGTGGCGGACACCGCATGGGCTGCGGCCGAAGAGAGATTCGACCAGCCCATGTTTCAAGAACTGGAGTTTCAGAGATTGAAGAGATACCGGAACCTTGCAAATGCGTTTCTGGCGCAAGCGGTCACAGAGGAGGACGTCCCTGAGGAACTTATCGAGGTGGCCCAGTATTTCGCCGAAGCGGATGCCCACAACGAGACTGCTAGGAAGGCGAAGCGGCAGAAGCTCCATAGTATCATGGCCCCGACACCGCCACGACTGCAGAGTTCGCGCATCTGGCTAGAGTGCCACGATGAATGGTTGAATCAAGTGCCAGCCGGCCTCGCGCAGAACGTCGTGGCGGAGATGCACGAGGCCACTCTGTTCGTGGTTGCCAACGCAAACAGGATTCCTCCTGCGGTGCACTGGTCGGCAATGATGCGCGGATACGACGTCGTGAACCTTCAGTTCCTGAGCAGCAGTGGCGCCGCCGGAGTAGCCTTCAACTTCGACCCGAGCTTCTCCATCCGCAGAAGCGTTCTCGTGAGCGAAGAGTTCTGGGCTGCTGAGCCAGAGCTGGCTGCCGTTGTTGAACTGGCGATGGCGGCACCAAACTCCAAATGGCGAGAATTACATGATTGGGATGAGTTTGCGGAGAAATACGAGGCCACGGCAGGACCTCATCTCCCGGCGACAAACCGGAAGCCCAAGCAAGTCATAGCTCTTACCACTCGGGAAATCAAGGACGAGATGCAGATGGACAGTGTCATGTGCCGGGAAGACTTCCAAGACTTCCTGTCACGCGTGGCCTGCACGAAGCGTTCGCTCTGCGGCGCGTAATTTTCGAGTGTATCAAATCGTATGCATACATGCATATGTATTGTACTTATAATATGTGTTGCAAGCATGTACATGAGTAATTATATCCTAAGGTTCCATCGTTTACATGCAATGTCGTGCATGCCTGCTGCCACGCGTGTGAATTCGATTGGCCTCCGGTGCAATTTCAGGAGAGGGGTCAAGATATTTGGTCTCGGCTGCGGCGAGGGTTCTTAAATTGAATGATCGTGCATGAGTTCGCAACCATTAGATTCTGAAGTGCCGCATTTGCCGACCGTGTCATGCAGAAGAATCTGCGCAAGCTTAGGCTGCGCTGCGCACATGATTTACAGCTGTGCGCAGACAAACTGCGGTGATGCATTCTCCAGTGGCCTGCGGGGCTACTCTACCATGGATTGGAGCAGGGGAAATACGGGGCGAAAAAATTCTTCTGATTTGTCATGTGCCCCAGTGCCCTTCTGATTTGTCATGTGCCCCAGTGCCCTTCTGATTTGTCATGTGCCCCAGTGCCCTGAGTGAGTCGCTTCAGAATCGTGTTCAAGCATGCCAAGCTCAACAGACCCACGCTCAGAAAGTTGTTCCCTGCAAACATCTCGCCGTGTGCATCAGGTTGCGCTGGGATGACTGCCAATGCCCCAGGGAGCTTTTTCCATTGTGCAAGAGCTGGCACAAGTCAATAATACTTCCCTGCGGCTGAACATGACAGTGAGTGTGGCATAGTTGTTCTTCTGACCTGTCATGCGCCCCAGTGCCCTGAGTGAGTCGCTTCAGAATCGTGTTCAAGCATGCGAAGCTCAACAGACCCACGCTCAGAGGAAGTTGTTCCCTGCAAACATCTCGCCGTGTGCATCAGGTTGCGCTGGGATGACTGCCAATGCCCCAGGGATGTTTTCCATTGTGCAAGAGCAGGCATGTCCACAGTAATTCCCCGCGGCTGAGAATGAGAGTGAGCGTTGCGTAGTTGTGCGAAATCGGCAAGTTCAGCGAGCCAGCAATCTAACTGCCAAGCGTGGCTGCTCGAGTAGGCTGAGTCGGCGCACGTAGCCCAATTCAATGGCCCCCAAGTCCAAGCATGCTATGGCTGAGAAGGCTTCCGTCACTGCAGCCACGCCCCTGACCCAACTGCCAATACGCGAGCTCCGAAAGTTGTGCGTGGAGGTGGGCCTGAAGGTTCGGGGCAATAAACACGAGCTCATCGAGCGTTTGGAATCTGTTGGGCTGACACAAGCAGAAGCCCGACAGCACCCAGGCCAGGGAAGGCTATGTGCTTCTGCCAAGCAGGACGGTCAGGAAGAGCCTCGTCCATGCCCGGCAACTCCTGCACGTGGAAAGCGCCTCCGCAGCCGCTCCACAACGCCTGTATATTGCAAGCGCCGAAGCCGAAGGCAATGCAGGCAAGTGGTTTTTTTCGAGCCGGCCACGAAGAGGGAAGAGATCGTCGATGATCGCACATCCGACTCTGAAGGGATTTCGTTGGACGACAGTGCCAGGACAGAAGAGGCCAGTGAGGATGGGGATTCATCACTACGCAGCGACTGCATAGCCAGTGACTTGCAAGGTGAGGATGGGGATTCATCACTACACAGCTCCTGCAGTGATATTGGCACCGAGGGCACGGAATCTTCAAACGGCGAGGATAACGACGGGACACAGGAGGTTTCGGACTCTTGCAGTGACGAGGAGAAGACCATCATTGGCGATCTAGTTCCGAGAGTGTGAAGTCACCACATTGGTCTCGGGTCATCTGAAGCCCGAGAGTGGGGGCCTAGCTTTCGACCTGTGCCGAGGGAGGAAGAAAATTGCTTTCAAACCTGGAGTGCGCACGCTGAGTTGCACATGACCCTTGCTGTGCCGAGGGAGGAAGAGAATTGCTTTCGAGGTTGGAGTGCGCACGCTGAGTTGCACATGACCGTTGCCCGAGGCACTAAAGGGCAGCTCCGCCGTGCGGACCGGCAGGCGACTCGGGTGTTCCCAGGAGTTTGCAGGTGTAGGCGTGTTCCCAGAACGCATCCTTAGCAGTAGCCCGGTTGGAAGCTGCCTCACACTGAACACATGATCGCGGAGCGCAGAGCTTGTCATCTTATAATCAGAAGACATGGTTGCGGACCCGGCGGACGCAGCATTCTGAACTCAAGAGTTCTTGCGCCCCGTATCGTCATTGGTGATCATCAAGCAGAGTCACTGATGGCTGCGAGCCCTGCCGGTGCCGTCAACTTGGAAGCTCAGCTGGGCAAGGACATCGCGACAATCGTCGGGCACCCGCTGTTCACCGACATTCATGCTGCATCACCTTCTGCTGCTGGCCACTCTGCCTTTGCAACCAAGGCTGGGAAGTCTGCATGGGACTAGTTGTTCGTAACCTGTTGTGGGACGCAGCATCTGCTACACCCGGACAATTCATGAATACGTTGCACATGTTCTATGTTCCGTCTTAGTGTCGCTTGCAGATTCATTCAAACTACACAAATGAAACCCTGTCCACGGAACGTGCACAGGGCCGAAGTTCGTTGCGTGACAGCCTCTTTTCCGCGGTGTCTTTTTGGGTCATTGCTGGGCGTCATGGTTGCGGTTGTGTTTCTGGAGGCCCCGGGCCCGAAATTCTAGGCGTGACGGGCTCTTTCCCGTCACGCGGTGGACCGTCTTCTTTTTCCCGTCACGCGGAGGTTCCCGGCCCGAAATTCTAGGCGTGACGGCCACCTTTCCATCACGCGGTGGACCGTCTTCATTTTCCTGTCACGTGGAGGTTCCCGGCCCGAAATTCTAGGCGTGACGGACGTCACGCGGTGGACCGCCATTTTTCCTGTCACGGGGAGGTTCCCGGCCCGAAATTCTAAGCGTGACGGGCTCTTTCCCGTCACACGGTGGACCGTCTTCTTTTTCCGGTCATGCGGAGGTTCCCGGCCCGAAATTCTAGGCGTGACGGCCACCTTTCCATCACGCGGTGGACCGTCTTCATTTTCCTGTCACGTGGAGGTTCCCGGCCCGAAATTCTAGGCGTGACGGGCGTCACGCGGTGGACCGCCATTTTTCCTGTCACGCGGAGGTTCCCGGCCCGAAATTCTAGGCGTGACGGGCGTCACGCGGTGGACCGCCATTTTTCCTGTCACGCGGAGGTTCCCGGCCCGAAATTCTCGGCGTGACAGGAAACTTTCCCGTGACGTGGGGGAACTGGCTTGGCTGGCAGCCAGGGAAGCGTTTCTGGAGGTTCCGGGCCCAAAGTTCTACGCATGACAGCCTGTTTGCCGTGACAGGTGGTGTAGGGAATCGGTGGGGGACAAAGAGGGTGCTTCGGAAACACAGGGGCCAGAAGTTCTTTGCGTAACGGCCTCGGCCTTGTTTCCGTAACGGAGGCTCCCCACCCGAAATTTTATGCATGACATGCAGGCTCTTTCCCGTCACACGGTGGACCGCTTTGTTTTCCCGTCACGCGGAGGTTCCCGGCCCGAATTTCTAGGCGTGACGGCCACCTTTCCCGTGAAGCCTTCCTCTTCCCGTCACGCGGAGGTTCCCGGCCCGAAATTCCAGGCGTGACGGGCTCTTTCCCGTGACGCGGTGGACCCCAGTTTTTCTTGTCACGCGGAGGTTCCCGGCCCGAAATCCTAGGCGTGACGGCCACCTTTCCCGTGACGCGTCACGCGGAGGTTCCCGGCCCGAATTTCTAGGCGTGACAGGCTGTTTCCCGTGACGTGGTGGTGTAGGGGGAACGGGCGTGGCTGACAGCCAGGGACGCATTTCTGCAGGTACCGGCCCAAAATTCTGAGCTCGAAATTCCCTGGGTGACGGCGTCTTTTCCGTAACGCATGATCTTAGGTAACAGCTTTGAAACCCGGCGGGTGCGTTCTGAGGCTGTGGGCCCCTAACTCTCTGCGTGACGGCCTTTTCTCCGTCACGCCACTTATGCTTGTCACGCTACGCGTGTTTGGCTTCAAGGCCCAGCGTGACGCTTAACGCGCTTCATTCCCTCTTAAGCCGCAGTCTTCGCTCGACGAGTGGACAGGGTACCGGTACCCTATCCACTCGACGGCCTCGGGCGGGGGAGGCTGCTGAGGCGGGGCGGGTAAAGCTGGCCGAGTGGAGAGGGTACCGGTACCCTCTCCACTCGGCCAGCTTTACCCGCCCCGCCTCAGCAGCCTCCCCCGCCCGAGGCCGTCGAGTGGATAGGGTACCGGTACCCTGTCCACTCGGCGGAGGCCTCGCACGTTCCAGCTGTTGCTCTGTGATACACGTGAACATGTTCGGTTAGCAAGCACACTTGCCCTGCAGGCTCCCTTTGTCATGAAGACGTTCGATTTGGCCATGCAGAAGTCCGGAGAGTACGCGTGCACGGGCAACCTCATGTGGCTAAGCATGACTTGGAATCCATGGCCAGAGGTCCATGTTTCCTCCTACGGCGTGGACGTTCTAAAACGAGACTTCTGGAGCTCCCCCAGGACGTGGCCGTATCAGCTGCCGGTCGTTGTGGGCGTGCTTCCGGGTACCACAGGGGCAAAGGTAAAAGCTGGGTTCGGTGGCCTGCATCGAGTCAGCCCTCCGGAGCTCATCATGGCCCTCATGTCACAGGTCGCGCATGAGATCCGCGAAGGTGCGGCCGACGAGCGGGTGGAACAGTGGCGTGAGACAATGCTCCACGCATCTTTCGTCTTCCAGGCGGGGCAATTTCGACAACGCTGTTGCTATCATCTTAATTATCAGCCTCCGGAATGCACAGGTCTGCCAGGACGAGGATGAGCTGAAGTGGTATTCGCTGAATGCTCGGGAGGAGTATGTCTCCGCTGCAGAAGCCTTCTGCAGATCGGCCCTTCAGCGGATTCTGGAGTTGGCTAACCTCAGGGATTCTGTGCGAACAGCGCAGGGTGGAGGAGCTGTGAAGCCAGAAGATCTGCATAAGGCGTGGTCGAAGCGCTTCAAGAAGAGTTCATCCAAGATGAGCGAAGAGGCCAAATATCGGATTTTATCCGTGCATGCTGCATGTCGTTCTGCAGCGCGTTGTGTGTGGGGCACTGCGCGCCAGTCTAAGTCTGCGATAGCTTGTTGTCGTGTGTTGTGAGCCATCCTGGTGTGCTGATTGAGAGGGTGACCAGACCTGTTGAGCCCGGCAGGTGAGCGTGACGTTTGTCAAGACCGGCCTGCGACTCCATGACAACTTCCTAGCTGGCTCCGGTGTCCGTGATGCGATCGTCTCCTTGGAGTCCAAGTACGGCACGGCCTCCCCATTCCACAACCTGGGCAGCCTAGAGGCGCTTTCCAAGACCGCGAGCAAGGATCCGAAGCTGGCTTGCTTCGTGGTTGCCGCTGTGCAAGACCTGCATCAGCACGGCTTCATGGATGTGGCCCAGATGAAGGGTGGTGGTTTCGCAGGCTCGAAGACGAGCCTGATCGAGTGCCTGGCGGCCAAGGCACGGATCATGGAGTACTTCATGCATGAGTGGATGCCGAAGAACGGGTTCGACCCCACGGCCGTCGGCATTTGCAAGGCGAGTGTGGCTGGCAGGGAACTGTGGTTCTTGATACTACTAATTAAAGTTCGGTGACGGCCCCTGCACAGGACTTGTGCAGCAGCGTGTGGGTCTGGCGTTCGAAGTGTGGTGGGGGCTCTGCTCGTGTGGACACGAGCTGGCAGGGTGTCCTTCCGCCGGCGACCCTGAAAGCCATCCTGTTTCTGGAAGCCGTCGTGTTCTCCACTTCGCTGGATGCCCAGTTGAAGAATAGTCTTCGCAGCGCAAGCTTGGCCGTGGAACTTTGTGGCCAGAAGCCCTTCGACGACATGCTGAAGGAAGTGGCAGAAGTGCTGGGGACCGTCAGCCACGTGCAGGAGACCCCGGGCAATGAGAAAGACACGGCGGCACCCGCAAGCAGCACGGATGGCCTCAGTGCTGAGTCTCTGGGCGTTCCGGCGACTGTGGCGACGGAGAAGGCAGATGAGATTGACGCCTGGATGGCGACCTGCCGACAGCAGGCTGACAGATACGTGAGAACGTTCGAGGAGCCGGCCACGGTCAACATCCTCCAGGAGATCCTGGAGCGCTCTACCTGGGGCTCGTATGGTGGGGGAAAGCTTGCAGTATGGTACGACCTGAAAACGGCGGGTGAAAGCTCGACGCAGCCTCACCTGAGGCGCCCGTCCTTCAACCCGGACAGACTCCAGAAGACCATCAAAGCAGCTCTCGCAGCACGCAAGCTGGAGGCTGTCACAGCGAGCTTGTTTCTCATTCATGGCAACGTAGGCTCCACAACCATGTGCCTTTATCTTCGGACCCTGAATACAGGCGGGGCCCAACGCCGACGTCCTGGTCTTGTGCTTCGACGGGGGTAGAGACCACAACTTGAAGCTGTTCAACTGCATGATCTGCCCTGACGGCAGCCATTGGCCGGACCGAGTTCCGTTTTTTGCTTCAGATGTGTTGTTGAAGTTCCTTGTCTGGGTGTGCGTGCATTGGGCAGGAGCGCGAGCGCCAGCAGCTGACCGTGACCTACTCGGAGGAGAGCGTGCTTGCTCGCAAAGCGACGCAGCGCGGCTTCATTCAGCTTGCGGAAGGGCTCCACGTGTTCGGCTCGAAGATCAGCGTTGAGAAGCGGAATGGCAGGCACTTCCAGCGCAGCACCATCAGCTCCGTGATAGGCCCCGGCGAGTTGCCGCAGTGGAAAGACTTGTGGCGCGAGACGAGCGACACAAAAAAGGCCATTTACGGCCACTCCGGGAAAATTCTAGCTTCCGGACCCTCCCCCGATCCTAAGATGGAGAAACCAAGCTTTGGAGACGAGCGCGAGCCAGTTCACTGGCACAGCATGCCGACGACGGTGGTGGAGGAGGTCTTGCACACGTTCCAGATCGGCGTCCTCCTGGACGCGAGCATGGCTGACGAGTCAGTGGGATTGGCGTGTCTCCGAATGAAAGTTTCCTACCTTGGGATGGCGTGGACGGCAAAGCACGCCGAGCTGTTGAGCAACAGGCTCAAGCAGCGCCTTTGGGCCGAGTTCAAAGACCAGAAGAGCCCCCTGCACCAGCCCATGTTGTGCCCAAGCTGCATCACTTGACTTGATCAGTACACCAACCCCCCCTCGTGGTAGATTCCTCAGCATACCACAACTTGAGTCGGGTTATGATTCCTGTAAGGCGGGAGCTGCTGTGTGGAGGCGAGGAGCAGACCGCCGAGGAGCCTCCGCAGAAGAAGCCACGCAAAGGCGATCGATCCACAAGCGGAGGCGCTTCCAAAGGACAAGGCCGCGGAGGGAAGGCAAAGGGCAAGAACAAGGGCAGGGGCCAAGCGGCGGCCCGCGCAAAAGAGATATTGGCCAAATTGGCCAAATTCAAAGGCAAGGGCTCCACGGATAATCAGTCCTCGCCAAAGGGAAGCTCCTCCGCAGACGCGGATGCCCCAGTCTGTCCATCGCCAGAAGCGTGAGTGCCTGGGTGGTAGATCCTCTTGCAGTCGCTTTTGACTGCCGAATTTTGCGGCGTGAGATGTTGCGCTACACCATCAGATCATGCTGCACTCCCACAGGTCCAGATCATGGCCTCTAGATTCTAGATCCTGGTACGCGCAGCATCGCTTTTCGCGCACTTGTACGCCTATCATCAGGCCGTCTGCTGGCTGGAGAAGCAGCAAGGAAGAACTCGGTAGGGGGCGGGTTTTAGGGCTCGTCAGGGTTCGTAGGATTTTATAATAGGGTTCAGAGGTCTAGCATTGATAGGGTTTCTAGGGTGTAATCGTATACACTACAGAGACGAGAGCAAAGTCTAGCGCAGCTGCTTCCCCAGCCCTTGCTTGGCATGCCGGTCTCAATCCCAACTTCCGCTTGTTTGAGCAGTAGCCTGCACGTCGCATGAAGCACGCAGCCGTGAGTGTTACACTTAGGATAAGTCGACATACCATGCGCCCATGCACTGCACGGCTGCCAGAAGATGATGCACACGATGCATGTCGCGTCAGCACTTGGGCAAAAAACATGGACGCAGCTGTGGCATGCATTCTGAACCGCGGCTCCACATGCACGAGCTTTTCTTGCAGGCTGAACCGCCAGGTGTTGGTCTCAGGGTAGTGCAAAGCCCAGTGATTGCAAGTGCCTTGTAACTTAGAGTGATGCAGCGGCAGCAGCATCGCGTGCTGACTGTCGGGAGTGCCTGTACCGGACTTGCCAGTGAGCTCTTCGCAGCACGCCGCCTGAATTTACGCGTTCGTTCCGTTTTTGGCTGTGACTGCGACTCTGCCAGTCAAACCTGGAATCAAGAAATGTGGGAGCACGAGCGTTTCTTCAACAATGTCCTGAGCACCGAATTTATGGAGGAGCCCGTTATCAGCACTTCGAAGTGATTCAGTTTCTTATAACAGAAGCGATAAGTTCTGTACTAGACCCCATCGCTATGCCACCGCCCTGATCAGGAGTCCGAGTCAGCTGACATTTTCGTTTGTGGGCCGCCCTGTCAGCCCTTTTCCCGCCACGGCCTGGGTCTTGGTCAGCTGGACCCACGGGCCGCAGCTTTCGACGCTTGCCTTCGATGGATCGAGTTGCGACACCCGCGAGTCTTCATAATAGAGAACGTGTGCGGGTTGCTTGAAAGCCACCCGCAGTTTCTTGAGTACGTGATGAAGCGGCTGTCGTTGGTGCGGGCTGGTGGCCGCTCGGTCTACTTTGTGACCCTCATGGTGCTCAACCCTCGCCTACACTGTGGTATACCACAACACCGAGAGCGTGTTTTCATCATTGGCTGCCAAGCGGCGCACATGGTTCGAGAGGTAGAAGTACCGCCGGAGGCCCGCGTAATGCTTAATATACGTCCTGAAGCGCTCGTAGAATGTGCCGGTAGGTCTGTAAAAGAGTAGTCTGTGCAGGTGCCTATGCAGAGCATTCTGGCCTACACCCTGCCGGAGGAGCTGGTGAATGTGCTGGATCAACCGACGGTGCCTTCTGCAGGAAGCAATGCTTGTCGCGTGCTCCAAGAGTCATTGGAACGTATCATCCTTGCGGGTGGGGATCCGGAGTCGGAGCCCTATGTCATTGACGTGGGTCGATCCACACCCCACTACAACTACGACTATTGTCCATGTCTTACTCGGGCTCGCGCCGGGGGCAAGGGCTTCTTTCTGAGCTGGCGCATGCGCCATATGTCCGTGTATGAGATGCTCATGTTGCAGGGCATACAGCCCGAGGAAGTGCTTGGCACTTCTCTTTCTCTCCCTCAGCTTGGAAAGCTGTGTGGCAATGCAATGTGTGTGGATGTTCTCGCTCTGGTGATGCAATCTGCTCTTAGAGCTGTGGGGTTGCTGGAACCTGATGCCTAGTGTGCTCATTCGAAACAAAACCGAAAAGCAGCCGCTCTCGGTGACCAGCTGGTTCTGCAGTGCATGTAGCTTTGACGGGCTTAGGGGACTGTGTTGCAAGGTCGGTTCTGGGGTTCGATGAGAAAGGAGGCAGTCCTGAATTTGTTTTGGGGGATTCGGCTTGTGATGCCTCAGAGCGCAATTCCTCTCCCTCTGGAACCCCACATGTATAAACCCCTTGTCCGAGAGACTCGTTGTGCAAATCGAGCACGCCCTAGTTCCTTAAGTAGCTCAGACCCCAACCCATCGAGGCTTATTGTGGAAAGTCTTGATGAGTGGCAGCTGCGGAGTTGGGCCCTTGGCCAGCCTTGCTCAGTCATGAGAGGGAATCGAGATTTCTTTAGGGGATTCTGCTTGTGATGTCTCGAATGAAGCTCCTGTCCCCGCAGAACCCGACATGCTGCTCATTGTAGACAGTACGGTATACCCTAATTCCCTAACTACCTCGGACCACGACCCATCGAGGCTTGTGAAGAAAGCTGACGAGTGGCCCCTTGCTCAGCCTTGCTCAGTCAAGGGTCGCTTCCGGGTTTCAAGAGAATCCATGTTTCTTGGGGATGCAGTTTTGGAGATTCGGACGTCCCTCCGGAGCCCCATGTGCAAGCCCGATCCGAGAGGCCAATTACGAAAGTCCCTGACTACCTCACACCCCAACCTACCGAGGCTAGTGGAATCTCGGCACCCAGTTCAATACGAGCACTCCTGGCACGCTTGGTCCTTGAAAAGGGAACCCCAAAGAACCCTTTCCCTAGAGCCTCACTGTGAGGCGCTCGAGTGGCTTCTGCAGCATTCCGCCTTTCGTCCCAGCACCGTGCCGCCAGTGTCGCGGCCTGGGCAATGTGTTGCACGTGTGACCGCTAGACGACAGACATTGTCTGTTCATGTTGTTGCAGCTGCATGCACAGGTGATTTCTGGCGCAAGAGTGCAGTTCGAGGCACGGGTTTGGCAAACGCGGTTTTTGCATTTGCCGTGAGACAGCAGCCTGTGCATAGTGTATCAGATCTCGCAGATTCTCTTGTAGAAATCCAAGCCTGCGAAAAAGAAGATATTACCAGAACCAATCCGCTGAAATCCGATGCGCGAGGTTGTTTCGAGCACACATTTTGCGAGCACGAGGAAACTACAGATCAGTTAACTCACTGCCACAGCTGCGACAATAGCACCATGCCGCTTTCGCGGGACGCCCGCACTGTGTGCAGAACAACGCAGGAGCGACGTCCCTGGATGAAGGAGCGACGTCCCTGGAATGCAAGGATGTGAGACCGTCTGTAATCTTTGAAAACGCGGCCGCAGCGGCGTCTCGCTGGACCTTTCGACTCGGCTGGAAGTAAGTGTTCTCAAGCATTCTGCAAGAAGTACCTGTGATCAATGAGATCACTTGCGTGGCCACTCCAGCGCCCTTGAGGAGCGTGACTGTCGACTTCTTCATAGAATGGGAAGAGACTCTGGCCAGCGATATCTCGTCGAAGACGTGCCCTCTGCCTTCTGCTTCTGCTGCTGTTCTTTGCTTTGCGATGCAAGACTGCGCCACCTGAAACCTGTCGTGCCATCCGCGTTCTGTGACTGGCTTGCGGTAGTTGCGTCCTCCTCCTGACAAAAGCTTCCCGGGAAACAAGAGATTGCCACGTTTCCGTTTCTGCGCGCCTGTCCTCTCCTGATCGGCCATCTGCAATGTCTGATCCGGATGCGGCCACTGGGAACCGCCGCCCCCTCGTACGGGCCCAGATTCCGGGCTGGTCCACTGGGCCAGAAGGGCCGCAAAACTTTTATCTAGCGGGATTTCTCTGGCTTTGGTCTTTTTGTTGATTCTGGGAACATTGATGCATGGGTGGTCTGTGCCGATGCCTGTGAACCAACTGTCGCGGGCGCCAAGAACGCAAGCCTGCCTCTCCCCCATGAAGACGCCGAGGAGGAATGCCACTCCGGCCCAGGGTGCTTGCACCTCCATGGCAAAGGTTTCGAAGAGCGAGCAGCATTGTTCTGCCGTTAATGCTTCCCGACCGCCCCTGTCAGCCCTCTCCGGTAGATGGCATTTTGCCAAGTGCTCTGCGCAGCAGAAACGTGCAGCGCCACAATTGCTACGCAGTTTGCGAGTCTCTGTCAAGTTCACGTGCTCGATCTCCAGCGCATGCGATTTGTTCTTGACATCTATGTTTCGCCGACGACAGCCCTTCCACGCGCAGAGTATCTTCACTGTGCTCCCACGCGCCCTTTTCGGCCCTCGCGGCATTCGCGCGATCTGCGACTTAACACCTATTGGTCGGGTATCATGCGGAACTGCAGGTTCACTACAACCCAAGAATGGTTAAAAATTGCCTACTCTACTAGGAACAGCCTCTTGACCTAGTTGCATGAGCAGGGGCATTTTGGGCAGCTTACAAGCAGTGTCGAATGAAATCTGTTGCAGAGAGGCTGGTGGCTGCACATGCGAACGAGACATCTGTTGGAAGCAGAATAAAATAAGACTTTCCGGAATGAAAACCAGATCTCGCGCCAAAGTCTTGTTTCCTAGCTTCCGAAACACTTCCCGGCCCCACTTCTGAATCCTCCCCTATTTCGGAAGGGGCACTTCCGAAGTCTGGTTTCCGGTTTCCGGTGGTGTTCAAGAGGGGTTTGTTCAAGAGGGGTTGAACGGTTTCCGGTGGTGTTCAAGAGGGGTTGAAATGGGCCTTGAGGTTTCAAGGGTTGAAAAGAGGTTTGAGGGGTTCAGGGCTTTAGGGGTGTCGGGCTTTCTGGGATAAGTGTGCTTACGCATGCAACAAGTTCAGGCACTTCTAGCGGTTAAGGACTTGTTGCGCTAGGGTGGGCAAGCCAGCTCCCGGCAGGCCTTCACGGCCGGTCCGGGCCAGGAAGTCTGGACCACGCCTCCGCCGGCGGGCTCAGCGAAGACGCGGCCTCAGAAGCTCAGTCTGCTTGGGAGAAGTCCCCACCCCAGGACCCTTTGATTGCATACTGCAGAAACCGCAGAAATCTTGAGTGTGCAATCTGCTTGGGAGAAGTCCCCACTCCAGGAGCCTTTGATTGCATACTGCAGAAACCACACACATCTTGAGTGTGCCCAGTTTGGCACCTTCTCCGGGTGGAAGCGGGCGGCGACCTCAGCACTGTGAGTCAGAAGCAAATGCTTTCATGTTCGAGTGCGTGCAGTGTGTGAGCAGTCGAGTGTGCACCGCCAGCCCGCCGTGCTCTGGAACATGCTCTCATTTCATCATAGCAGAGGCAGCAAAACCAGCACCAGCACAAGCATCGGCAATACCAGCACAAACACGGGCATCAGCAACGCCAACCAGCTCTCAGGACCCTGACGCCCTAGCTCCCGGCGGCCTCATCGCACAAGTGGCCGGAGACCTCAGCAGGCAGTGTCCCACACGACGAGCAGGGCTATGTCTGTCTGTGCATGAAGAGCTGTCTTGCGGGAATGCGCTCAGTGCCTCTGATGTCAACTGCATGTTTTCTTGAAGGCGTCACTGGGTTCTTCAATGCATGATCCCAACTCCCTGTCCCTGCATGTCCCACAAACAGCCAGACTGCTTCTTTCAGATCGAACATACGTCAGAGACAAGTGATGTGCGAGCAGTCCTAGCGGAGCTGGTCATGTGTTCTTCACATGCACGATGCGACATAGTACGTAGTTTTGTCGGAGCTGCCACAATCTAGTTGCAGCCAGCGCATCAGAGGCAGCAACACCAGCACCAGCACAGGGCATCAGCAACACCAGCACCAGCACGGGCACCAGACTTTTGCAGCACCAGCACCAGCACCAGCACAGCACGAGCAGCAGCACGAGTAGCATGGCTTCGGGGTCGGACGGCTCCCGGGCATGGAACTCCTACTACGGTCAATACGTTGACCGCCGTAGTGAAAACGCCCGGAAAAGAGAGACCGATGCTGGGCAGAACCGCGACGACCGAAGCGCGCGCCTCGTGAAGCAGCTCAAGGAGAAGACTGCGGAGCTGAAGGAAGCCGAGGCGCAAGACACAGAGGGGCAAGTGACTCCTTGGGGTGAAGGGAAGTTAGATGACAAAGGCAGAAGGAGAGAACGGATCACACGCCAGGAAGCACTGGCAGCAGCTCGCCAAGCCGAGGTGGGGCGTGACAGGAAGCAAGGAAACAAGCAGGGATAGACGTAGAGAGAGCCAGCGCAGGAGGAAGCTTCAGCAGCTGGCGCAGCCACCGAGGTGGATAAAAAGAGAGCGAGACTTAGAGGGAGGGGGGCAGAGGGAGAAAGAGACGGCAGGCGGAACTTCGGCAGCTGCTCACAACTACGGATGTCGGGCACTTGGCGCATCAGCCTACCCAGACCCAAACCTCGCCTGGCTTGTTCCGAGATATGAGAGCGTAGACTCAGGCTTACCGGGTGACCAACCTCGCAGAAGCTCGGGCTTTCTACAGCGAGAAGGTCACCCGGGGCACCACCGCCAGAGTGTTGGCTGCAGTGACTGTTCGTACTCATTCTGTCAGGCTCTCGCAGAGGAGAAGTTGAAAGCAGCTGGGACAGAGCTGGAGAGCACGCGTGCAAAGCTTCTCAGGGTGGAGGCGAGAATCTCAGCACGTGATGAACTGAGTGCACCGGAGTCTAGACTATTTTTGGCAGGCCAGCTGCAACAAGTACGAGGCCATGACTGAGGTGCCAGCCTTAACAAATCGTTGGTTTGTTCGTCCGAAAAAGGAACAGAAAATCCAGAGTATCGGTGCAGGCATCCGAGAAGGCTGCAATGAAGAGCGCTGAGGCCATTGGATCATCAATGACAGAAGGCCCCTAACATGCTAGTTCATTCTGAAGGCCAGCCAAACGGAGACCAGGGAGCAGCTCCAGGCAGACCGGGCGGTGGCGGTTGAATTGGTTCCAAAGAGCCCGGCATTCCTACGTAGCGCAGGAGACGCAAAAAGAGATGAGGATAGAGCTCCAGGCAGGAACCGGGTAAGTTGCGTTGAAATAGGTTCCAAAGCGCCCATTCCGAGGCTGCGGAGGAGATGCGGAGAGAGCTGAAGAGAGCTGCGGAGCAGCAATTTTGAGAGTCAGCTCTGCATTGATGGGCTCGTGCGTGTTCCTTGACAAAACAGCTGAGGAAAAACAGGTTCTGGAGGAGACCCGGGAGTGTCACAGGGCTTTGGACAGGAGAAATGCTGTCCTGGTGGCAGACAACACCCGGCTCATATCCCGCCACAAGCGAGACGAGGCCCCTGCATTCTCCGACATTCTGACATCCAAGCTTGGAATCATAAGCTGCACATGTTGTCAGGAATACATCAGGAAAGTTGAACAGGATCTCCGAGAGGCTGGCTGTCAGACCATAGGGAGGTGTTACTGTCGGAATGATAACACGGCAGGCCAACGCAAATGCTGGAGTCCTCGCAGAGACGCAGGTGGGTAGACAGACATAGAAGCCAGCTGTAAGTGATTACCGATGGACCAGGCCTGGCTCGCGCATGCCAACGCGTGTGCCAGCGAGTCCAAGCAAGAGCTGGAGGCAGGGTGGGGCCAAACAGCGAAGCCGAGATCACCCAAAAGTCGCTGGAGGCCAGCGAGGAGCGATTGGCGGAGCTGCAGGTGGGGCGGTCTGAAATGTTCCGGGACCAAGAGTCAAGAAAGCTGCTACAGGAGACATCCGCAATCATTATGAAGGCCGAGGCGAGTGAGGACCATCGCCAGCAGTTGCAGGCGGGGCGATAGACATCATATGGACATATTCACGAACAGTAGACAGTTTGAGTAGGACCGCTACTATGCTGTTGACAGGACAACGAGCTGATGATGCAGCTGAAGTTCGAGGCATGTCTGTGTGCGGCATGCCTCCTGTCTTGGTGTCAGCTCCTGCTGAGCAGGAGCGGCGCTGCACTGATCGTGCAGAAATGGAGACGATGCAACGCAAGCTCGACGACTCCGAGGCGCGTGCAGATGCCGCAGCCGCCCCGTGAATCTTGCATTGGAAGATGTGCCTGGCAGGGCCGATGTATGGCTTTGCAGCTGCAGCTCCGCCAGGACTCGTGTCACAAGAGCACCAAGGTCTTACCCATTGCAACAACATGATGTGATGAAAGGAGCTCCGGATCAGCCCCTTCTCCTCGTTGCCGACTCTGGCAGTGCTGCCGACTGCTCATGGGCTGCATTGGTGGCTTATGATATTTCTCTGCTTTTCTCTGTTGTAGAACATCCAAAAATCCTGTGGAGCCTACGGAAGTACCGCTTCACCAGGACTCTCTTGATAAAGACCACCAAATTTTCACATCGTTTCAAAGGGGGGGAAGGGACGTCAAGACCTGCGCCCAAGGAGCTCTCTATTCCGCATGATCATCCACTGCGCAGGAGCAGGCCTTGTCCACGCCATTGCGATCCTCGACCTCGCCCGCCGAGGCACCAGTGGTCTGTTAACAAGTCTTTCAAGCATACAGTTGCTAGACTATAGACTGCCTACCTCAGGAGAAGTTGGTTCCCACCGAAGTGCCTAGCAGCCCTAGCCGCTGACGAAGATTGAAGGGCAGATGCCATGACTGAAGCTTGGATTATAGGTTTTATGCTCATTATCAGAAGCCAAGCCCATCACAGAGCAGCTGCGAAGGCTGCAGAAGTGGTTACATCTCGGAGTTACCGCCTGTGGTTTCCAGCCTGGCACTGTGTCAACTGCAATGCTCAGGATGCTGCCAGAAGCTCTCTTCCATACTTGCGCCTGAAGTGGTCTGGCTACGGTCTGAGTCTTACCCTGCACGTGTTGTCCAGCCGAGAATCGAGATTTCCCAAGCTACATTGCTAGGGGCCTCCGACTCTTCCGACTCCTGAGTCCGTGGCCGACTGTCCGCTCGCGCCTGGCTAATAAGGACTCTATAAAGCTTCTTTGGTGCAGAAAGATAAGATCTTCCAGAGCGGGCTGTCGAGCGATGAGCTGTTTGCAGTAGCTAGAACTTGCGGGCTATCTGAGGAGTGTGAACTGCTTCGAATAAATCTAAGCACGTAAGGTTTGTCTCAAGCAGAGCATGCCCGTCTCGTCGCAAAGTGATCTTCCGCTGAGACCGGCGCGACACTGGGACTCCGGATCCAAAGTCTGCCCTGCAACCGCTCACATGCCAGGTGTTGCTTGCTGGGAAGGAGGATCCTCAATCCTTCATCGAATGCTAATTAAATTCTGCCTCAAACATCCTAGAATATCCTAGAGTCCGAGAGCCTTGCGTCATTTAGCGTGAGCCCTTTACATATTGCGGCTCCAGATTCTCCCAAGCATGCAATTGACAAGACTGTACTACAGTAACACGGGATTTTGCTGAGGCTGCGTCTTAGAAGAAGACGGGGAAGCCCGGGGCCTTGTGGATTCTGCAACTGAGACGTGTGTAGCTGCTCGTGCAAGAAGTCTTTCAGCAAGCCTGTGTGGCCTGACCCTCCTCTCGCTCTCGCAGCATAAGATGCACTGAGGGCGAGGCCTCAGAGAGGGAAGGAGGGAGAGAGAGTGAGTGCGAGCGAGAGCGTGAGAGAGAGGTTTGCGCCATCACGGCGCATGCATCGTCGGCTGTCGTCGTCTTCTGCGCCGTCACGGCGCACTCGTCGTCTGTGTCGTCTGCGCCATCACGGCACATCTTTCGAGTCCTCGCACGCTGCTCTTACTCAAACTTCTCCCAATTGTGTGTGATCTGCGCCATCACGGCACATCGCGCTTGGATCTGCGCCGTCACGGCGCACTGATTCTGCCCTTCGCAGGCATAGTTCACCTCTTTCGGATCCTAACACGCCTGCTCTTACTCAATCTTCTCCCAGGTGTTCCTGCGCCATCACGGCACATGGTTGTCGTCAGTCTCGTCGTCTGCGCCATCACGGCACATCTATCGTCAGCCTCGTCGTCTGCGCCATCACGGCACATTCGTCGTCGTCCGCGCCATCACGGCACGATTAGCTTCTTGAACTTCTCCCCGGGCTTGCCTGCAGGACCCTGAAAAGAACGCGGGGTTCGGGACTTAGGTGCCTCAGGGGGGATGCTCGGGTTTACCAGGGTTACGGTGTAGGCTTTCTAGCTGCTCTAGCCTCAGCCGGAAACATGCGAATTATGTATGACACGCATGGTAAGGATCTAGCACTCAAAGACTTTAAGGTTTTAGGCTGCTACAGTCTACTTTCTACATGGCATGCATGTGTATGTTGCAGGTGCAGAAGCGCACACACACACACACACACACACACACACACACACACACACACACACAAATCACAGAAACAATCAAGTGGCTCATGATTTGATGTGTGTTTGAGTTTTGATGTTGCCAAACATGATGCCCCTGGACGTGGTACCAAGAATCCCAAAAGATGTTCGATTGAAAGGCTGCTGCCGTGTGACATTCTCCAAGTCTAGTCTAGTCTTCGAGTTGAAAACGATAACTTCAAGAACACAAAAAATCAAGTGGCTCATGATTTGATGTGTGTTCGAGTTTTGATGTTGCCAAACATGATGCCCCTGGACGTGGTACAAAGAATCCCAAAAGATGTTCGATTGAAAGGCTGCTGCTGTGTGAATTTCTCCAAATCCAGTCTTCGAGTTGAAAACACTAACTTCAAGCGCACACACAAACAACAAAAAATCAAGTGGCCCATGAATTGATTTGTGTTTGATTTTTGATGTTGCCAAACATGATGCCCCTGGACTTGCTACAAAGAATCCAAAAAACAAGTTCGATTGAAAGGCTGCTGCCGTGTGAAATTCTCCAAGTCTAGTCTTCGAGTTGAAAACGAAAACTTCAATGAAGTTGTAAGGTTCCATGTCATGTTTGTCAATCAAAACAGTCCCCCGGAATTGTTACAAATGCTTTTGCCACAGGATAACTTGAGTTTTGATTAAACAGACTTCATACAAAGCAAAAGTCGCTCGGGCGTTTTGTAGGACCTCATCACTTCTGTCAAACATGGACTCTCTCTCTCTCTCTCTCTCTCTCTCTCTCTCTCTGGCTCTCGCTCTCTTTCTTTCCTCTTGCTTTTGCTCCCAGGACGTTTCTGTCCAGCCGCTGACAAAGGATTTTCTTCCAACATGATGTCAAGCCGAAAGGCTCACTCATTCCTGCATTCCCTACTGAGCCGCAGCAAGTCTACGCGGTTCGCAGAGCCGGAGCACAGGATGCTGAAGCGGTGGTTGCAGCTGCTTGCGACATCTTCGAGGATGCCAACGTGCGCCAATCCGCGGCTGCCTACTCGTTGGACATTACGGTAGAATCATTTTCCGCGAGACATCTGTCTTCCGATTCGGAGAGAGATCTACTTGCGCAAAAGATTCTGGACAGTCTGCAGCATTGGTCACAGGTCGACACGGCGCTGTCTCGAGAAGTGAGTTCTACGTGGGAGGTTGCTGTTGCCGGCTTGAGAGACGCGACTGTGCCGTGGAATGTCTGCAGCTAGAATCAATCTTTCTGGAGGAGGCTCTGGACCACCATGATCCCTGCATTAGTCCTACTACTAGGCCTAAGGACCCATAAGCCCCTGGCGTTCCCCTGGAGTCTGTTGAATCGGCTAAGTAACATACGCTGGCCTGTTGTGGTTTGAGATGAAGAGCGAAACCCTAATTCCCGACTCCTTTCAGAGACCAGTGTTGCGGCTTCCGTTTGGGGATGTTTGTCAGCTGCCGCTATGTTTCTTCTTCCATGATACTATACCCCTATACCCTGGCTTGGTATAATGCGTGCTATGGAGGCTCGGGGCTCCCGACGAACCTTTGCAACTACAATCAGCCATTTTCACGAGGCTCCGGACCACCGTAATCCCTGGGATGACCTCTCCCGGCACCTCCTCAGGCCGCCTCTCCGATGCCGGTCTTTGGGACGTTGCTTGCTTGCTTCGACGCTGTCTTGCGAAAGAGCAAGCAAGCAACGACGCCGCCACGAGAAGAATGTGCGTGTGTGTAAAAAAAGCCAAGTCTTCAGGAAGATTTTAAGATGTGCCATGGCTGATCAGAGACCAGTCAGTCACCTGTGACTCTGTCCTCATTCGCAGCTCTATTATTGTGAAGTCAGTGAAGCTTCTTGCAATAACGCCATTTTCCGCAGCTGGTGTTTCCGCTGGTACAATGAGGACGATGTGAGGCGTTCCACCCTTCATAACTTGAGAGGCAGGAATGCCAAGGACGAGTGGCCAGTTCTTGGCCAGGCACATTTCCATATATATAATATATATATATATATATATATATATATATATATTTATATGTATAGTATCCATATATTATGCATTTGCCAATCCCTCTGACAAGTTGCCACTTGACCTGTTGAGTCAGGCTCTGAGCCCTCACGCTAGGCGGATCTTGATTAAGCGTTCCCACACACAGGGCATAGAGTGAACTACATCGAGTCAAGTGTATGGTACAAAGATGACTCCACGACTCCGTGACTCTATCTCACTACAACTCTATGACTTTATGACTCATGACCCATGGACTCTATGACTCTTGATTCTGTGACTTTACGATCCTATACACTGACTCTATCTCACTACGACTCTATGACGCTATGTCACTGCAACTCTATGACTTTATGACTCATGACTCATGGACTCTATGACTCTTGATTCTGTGACTTTACGATCCTATACACTGGATCTATCACATAGCCCCACACTCTTCGCTGATGATGCTTTCGGGCCAATTGTCTTCTAGTTCCTTCTATGTGCTTGTCACTGCACTGCAGCTGGCACTTCGGGACATGTGACAGGTGACCACGGAGTGGTTCGGTGCCGGTGAATACCGGGCAGGGTACAGATATGTGTCTGGGCGCGTTTATTAATGAAGGGCGAAGCGTGAGCTGTCTTGAGCTAGAGATGTCTGGACTGTAGACTTTCAGCCCAGGTCTGGGTGTACCTGACACTGGAACGCCGGCCGAATGCTCTCATCGTTTTCGTGTTCTTCACGTGCTTGGCGTTCGCGCTTGTGTCCTGGGTTGGGTTGTTCATTAACCCGACAGCTGCACCAGCTCGTGTCGCCATCGGAGTGATCCCGGTGTTGATCATGCTGAACTTGGAGAGCAGCGTCACATCTCAACTACCGCCGTTGAACTACATGACTTGGCTCACAAGTTTTCTCTTCACAACAAAGGTCTTCAGCATGATGGTTGTCTTCGAATACGGCTTAGTGTCGTGGCTCATGATGATAGAAGGTCAAAGAGTCCGAAAGTTTGAGGCTATGAAGCAGATGGCTATTGCGCTGAAGAGGGATACAGAGGAGCAACAGGGGCATGCAGCGGCGGAAACGGTGGAATGGGATGAAGATGATGATGAGGACGTGAATCTACAGGTCGCCCGGGAGACAGAGGAATCACACGTCACGGCAGAGAAGCACAAAGTGCAGAGGTCCAAATCCACGCTTTCAGTTGGTTCACGTAGAAAGGCAGTTGTCCTTGCAAAGGGCCCGGAGCAAATCCAGGAAGTGTGGGACATGTTCGACAAGGACGGGTCCGGTTGCTTCGATCAACGTGAGATTCAGCTAGGCTTCCGCAAGCTTGGACAGTATTTGAGCATGGACCAAGTTAAAAGGATGTTCTTCCGTCTTGGCGTAGAATCAGAGACACTGGACGGTGAAGCATTCCAGCGCATGCTACTGGATCTGAACCTATACCTGCCGGGGACGCCCTTTACCCTCACCTATTGGGAACGCCCGCCTTCTCTCCAAGTGGACATCGCATTTCGCTACGTCTACATCCTTGCTTTGGCCGTTGTGACGATTTCGTGGTTGGCGCTTGCCGGCAGGTGAGCTTCTTTTGTATCCGGAGAAAAATGACATCCCTGAGTGAACTTGGTAACGCACAAAGATCTCGGGTGCCAAATTTTAATGCATATCAGGTCGTTTCTTTGTTGCATGAATCCAGAAGCCACAGCTCAAAACGAGCCTGGAGGTTGCAGCATCTGCAGCGCATATCTTCATGTGGCTGTGATGTCTGCTCGAATCCGGCCTGGCGGCTTCATGTAGTCAGGCATTGCAATTGAGACCGTGCTGCGTGATCAAGCATCTGGAGCCAACGATGCCTAGAGACAAAGCTCCAGCCTGCGCGAGGTACTAATTATTCAATAATTATTCATCCTCGTCCCTGCGCGAGTCAAGGGATTTTTCCGGGGCCACGTGATGAAAGCGATGACTTTGTTGGTCGTGATGGAAACGATGACGATGATCATGACAAAGAGGGCGGTTACCACAGAGTGATGGGAGTGGGTGATGGGAATCGGTGAAGCCAGAACTTCATCCAGGGGTAGTGCTTCTGTCCCAGTATCGCAACTGCAAACTTCCGTACCTACCGCTAGCGGCATAGTCAAAGCCGTTCAATCAACCAAGAATTGTCAGTCAGAACTAGATACTAGAATTTCGATTGACTACGAGCAGGAAGGCAACGCGCTAACCGAAGCAAATGGCACCGTTGCTAGACTGACGTCACCATTGCAGGCTGATGTTGGGAGTCATCAAAACCCGTCAATCAGTGGACTCTCATATTCCCAGCGCCATCCCGGGCGACGCTAGAATGGTAGTTGGAGGGTACAGAGTGAAAAGACAGGTTGAATCACATGGAGGACTGTATGTCAAATTTCGCAAACATCTTGCCAGTAAGAGTTGTCATCCTGCCAGCTCATACTCTATAAAGTGCGGTTCATGGTAATCCATGGCCTGGTATGGTGCTCACTACGCTGGCTTTGGTACAGGGTTTCGAGCACGACAAACACGGAAGTAGCAGAGGCGATCTGTCAGTGTCTTAGCGGTAGTGCTGCTGTAGTAATGGTGCCCGGCGAAGTAGTAAAACAGAGCGAAATTAGTAGCACGAGTATAGTAGCAGTAGAAGCCGATGTAGTATTCTAGCAGAAATGGGTTCCTTGGTGTAATCTCCGACTGATACTCCATTAGCCCACAATCCCACACATCACGATAGAGTAATTGATGCTCAGCTCCGACTGCAGAGGTGGCAACAATTTGCCGCATCGCATTGCAGATCTCATTCGCGAGGGCAAGGCTGTCAACTACTTGTCGGCATGTCATGTAGCTTGAGTGGCATAGATTGGCAATACATGGATACCGTCATCGTCGATGGGGGGTTCGAGTTCAGCCGAAGCATGTTTCAGAACTCTCTTTTGACGGCGAGTGGTGGTTGATTGCCACAAGAGTGCACCATCGCGATACGTGTTGTGGTGCTTTGAAGCGACATCGTTGGTCCAGAAGTGGCTTTTGAGCTTCATTCTCGATGATAGTAATACAACAAATGCGAGATCCGGGGCTGGACTTTGGCGACAACAGGAAGGAGTCAGACAGGCCATGCACATCTAGACTTACACTATTGACTGCCGAGGCCCTAAACTTCCACCCTGAGTCTCCCGTAGCTGTCATGGCAAACGCAGGCCACGTCTTGATAACTCCCTGATGTTGACGTCACATGTGCTTGCTGTGAGATGGCTGTAGACAAATGCCATCGAGGTGAGACCCTGTTGTGAGCGAGCCGGTAGATGCTGCAAAACAAGGCCCCCCTACGAGCACGTACTCACCTGCGTCCTGAACAAAAAGCCATCTAGCGGGGGCGCAGACTTGCGACAGGTTTCCCTGAACACCTGGTACATCGCCGGAAACCGCATTACGGCCGAGGGCCTGAAGCCGCTCTGTGACGTCCTGCGAGGCCTTGACTTTAGGTCGCAGGCATCTGTGAACACAACTTTAACAGGCCTTGAACCCGATGCACGCCGAGAACTTGAACGCCAAGCCCGAGTGCAATCTAAATGTACCGCATATTGGGTGGTGTGCTGTTTGGAATGGCCTTTTGGTGTGACCGAACAAACCCGCCAGAAGGATAAGCACATAGATGCCGGACAGCAACGAAGCCCCATTTGTATCTGTCCGCCCGTCGACGCCCCATGCTAGTCTCTGCCTGATGAGTCTTGCAAACAGCTCGCTTCCAAGAACCAGTTGCTCACTAGAATCAGCGATGAGGTACGAAGCCCTTCCAAGCATATCCAGTCTGAACAACCTTTCTTGATGGTCCTGCTCAGACGACAAGACCGTCCATCAGCTCTGGCTGAAGCGAAATCCCCTGCACAAAGAGGGCGCAGGTGCACGGGCTGATCCAGGACGTTTTTAAGAGGGTCTATTGAATGTGACTGTGGCCTCACTTTCTGTTGGTGACGGTTTTAGCTGCATTTGCACACACAGGCAGAATCAGCTCTACATTCTCTCTCCCATGGATTCCTTCTGTACCGCTGTAGTCTCCTGGGCACCCATAGAAGCCCCATGCACTTTTTTCTCCTATAGATTCCTCGGAGACTTTGGCTTCGGGCGGGAATTCAAGAATTGCAAAGTGATTACGGGCATCCAGGCGCTGTAATTCCTAACCCGCACAGGTACTTGAGCGCGTGACCTGCCCATACGGCACATGTATGGGTAACTCGATCCCTTGCAGTGGCTCTCGAGCGGACAACCCATCGTGCCGTTGGTAGTGGGTACGTGTCGGGAAACATCCTGATTAGCGTGTGCAGTTGTATTCTGTGGGATTTGATTGTTCCGTCGGTGTATGCTGCTGGAGTGGCGAAATACACGGTGACATAGCTTTAGTATTCGTGTGATGATGCGAGCTTTTGGTGTCTGATGCGTGTAAATCTGTTGAAGTCTCGTTACGCTTATCGCACAAGAGCATGTCAATGTCAGTAGTTCGCTCGTCGTTCAATAACGGGAACTACGCTCCAAATGCCAGCTGCAGTCATGATTGCGGTTGTTGAGCTGAGCTGTCCTGTTGCTGCACACCTAATGTCACCCAAGCACATCATATCCGCAGGAATCCTAGGAAGATCCTTGTCACATACATGCATATACGCAGACAACCACATACGCGTATGTCTGTGTCTTTATTTCGTAGTGGTTGTGTTTCTTGTCCTTCCTCTCTGCACATCCAGAAGCTCGGGAGCATCTGTGGATTGCAGCATTGTAGCAACTCAGCCCATATACACCAGAGACATAGTGCACTGACGCATCAGTGTTGATCCGACTACGACTCTGCCTCTGCCCACCTTACCTGTGCCTGAACTCGTACCCATGTTCCTAATTGACCATGGCAAGAGACACTTGGCAGTCGTCTTGGCTGACATGCTGCGCAACAATCGCACGTTGCAGGCTCCTTGACCATATTGGGGCGGATCTAGAGCTTCAGGACATGCATGATTTCAATTCTTGGAGTTTTCATGATTTGGTTCAGATCCAGTCAAAATCAGACCTGCAGCTTTAGCATCTTGGTTGGTATTTTGCGTAAAAAGTAGAGAAGACGCGGAACATGTACCAACCGTTTCGACACCAATACCATGGTGTACACTGAATTCGGTGCGCTTGCATTGCAGAGAGTGTGACACCGCTTCGTCAGCGGCCGTTTTCGGGTTAGCTGTGGGACTGGCGTGGCTCCCGTGCACTGTTGGGCAGCAGCATGCCTGAGCACTGATTTGGATAGTATGTCCTGCTGTTGTTCTTACTCTCATCATAATGCTCATCTTTCTTAGCATTGTGCATTTGTTGCTCTGGATATGGCCACCTTAGCAATCTACATATCATCATCGTGAATATGATTTGAGGTATCGGTTTCGCCACCGCAAGTACTGCTGGGTGTTGTGACAGGTACAGGCTACCGCGGTGAGCCGCGTTAGGTTTTGCTCTCTATGCTCTCTGCATTGCCAGCTATTCGGACCAGTCGTTCATGCAACAGCAGCATGTCATTTTTGTCCTGCCAAGAACACACTGGGGGTAGCGTTAGTTAACGCTATGATTCTGATGGGGATGGTGAAAATTAGCTGTGATTGCTTTCCTTCCTTTCTTATACTACCGCAAGTCTAATATGTACTTTGATGTTTGAATCGGCTTGCCTTGCTGTATGCACGGGAGTCTCGGAGCTCAATTGTTCTTGAGCCGGGCATCTAGCGCTAGACTTTCAAATTCGATGCATCCGAGGTGCTTGACTTGGTCAATTGCGGACTGTGCCTTTGCGGAATGCTTGCCTCGCTGAAACGAAGTGTTCAATTCGAACAGCCGATCAGAACGCAGTCGGAGTACTTCGCAGTCTTTACACAGTGAAGCAAACCGGGGCCAGTTCGGCCGTGAAAGTGCATGCACTTTCAGAGGCTCGGGCTGAAGAGTTTGATGCTCCAAGTGCCAGGCATCCCCTGAAGGTGAAGTCCCATCCCTTCTGCAGTCAGTACAAAGAAGTATGCAGGGCTTAAAAGCGCGAAGAAGAAGGATCGAGGGCCTTCTGGCCTAGTTCCCCGGACGGACATTTCCGACCTCCACAACATTAGTCGAAAGTTCTAGAACTTATCGCTGGATCTCAGCGTCTGATCCAGCCGAGGATGGACGAAGGCGCCGAGGCGCTTTTGCCAGGCCTGGAAGGCTCCAGTATCTCGGTCGGAGATTCTTCATCTGAATTCATATAATATTAATACAAATTTAAATGCTATTACTAATATTAAAGCCACTATTAATACTAATATTAGGAACAGCAACATGCACATGTGAGGGCGACATGGACTACACGTGTGCCATTGCAAGGCTGCGGGCGACAGGCGTGTTATCTGGTGCTTGGTGGCTTGTGTAGGATTCACGATTGAGGGTATAGGCGCCACTTGACACCCAAGAACAGGGATTCTAGGATGTATGTCAATGTGTGAGTGAGAGAGAGAGACAGAGAGAGAGAGAGAGAGAGAGAGAGAGAGAGAGAGACAGCACAGGCTGCCCCAGCGGGGGCATGCCCT